ATAATGCATTTGATTGGAAGAGCCTTCACCATTCTTCTCTTTCCTTAATATGCTAACTTTAGCCTAGAATCAGTGTTGAAAGGCTCTTCTCTTTGGCCTATTGAATATCTCTTCATGTGATATTACGGAACTGATCAATGGATTTTAAGAACCAATAGATAAACCATAAAAACATAATCAAACCTAGACGAGAGGCCTCTTAAAACTTTATTAACCATTTTCTTATATCTCCAAGCATTCTCATTTTTTGACTAACAATGATGTAAAACTAAAGGGGAAGTGATGAATGAATTAACTTGATTTCATAAATAATCTCAAACATGATTTTTGAGCTCCATACCTTTCATGTTGGCAAAAAGCTCATAGGGGTAAAGGGTGTTACTTTTGGAGAGGCTGAAATAGGAACCAAGAGAGGTGAATTGGTTTACGTTTCATTTCAACTCTAAATCTCATAATCACAACTCAAGTAATAGAACCCAAATTTATTATGGTTCAACTTACTTGACATACTCAACTCTCTATTAACCAGGCCATTTGGTTCTATTAACTCAAAGAGGTACAATTTCTAAACATCAAGGCTTCAACTATTCAGCATTATATTTCACAACTCTTGTCTACCAAAAGAATCATTTCTTCAAACACATCTTCTGGATTCACAACTATAGAATTATAACTCAATTAGCATCTAATTAATATGCTCTAGATTCTTGATTATAGTGGGCTAGAGTATAGGAGATACTCAACAACAAGATGAGAATAATTGATTCTCTTAAAAGTTTAGCATGTAGCTTCTATGGTGTGAATTCCTTGTCCTAAAATTACAAAAGCATCTTATAGTGGGGAGGCTTTTGAATGGTTGAGAGTAATTCATTAATTTTGATCCTGAATTTTTTTTTGCACAGTTTTTGAGAGGACATTTCATATATAATAATCATCTTTTAAAATTTTAATGATTTTTTAAAATAATAATAAAATCTAGAAAAATGATCTTCCTATGGGTAGGATGTGTCACTTTGGTCGTTATTATCAACATATGAAATTTCAAACATTTTAAGGCCTAAATTTAATATGAGACAAAGAGATAGATTCTATTGAATTTGAGTCATCTAGAGGGATGATGGTTAATCACAATTTCAAACTTTCATTCTATGAATTTATTGACATAAAATGGATGAGAAATATAGGGGAATTAGTTTTCTTCACTTGTTGACTGCTTTGTTTGTGCATGACAAGGCCATAAGATTTGGAAGCTTGGACTCATTCAGCTTTGATGTATGCTCAAGTGACGATTTATCGGAATACTCAGGACTTGTAAAGTTATAAACAATAGATGCTAGAAGATTGGAATAATAGAGGAGTAGAGAGAGAACATGAAATAAAAAAAAATGAGGGGCAAGAGAGCACCTGCCAACAAGACTTTTCCACCAATAGTAAAACATGAAAGTAGTTTTGCAACATAAAATATTACTCCACCGAAGCAAAAGCCAAAAAAATTAACAAAGTAAATGAATTTGGATGATTTCAATGAAGTTATGTTTCACTAGAAACATTCAAATCATGAAAAGACCAAATTCAAATCAAAAGAAAATTTATCTTTTTTTGACATTGAAGGACAAAACAATAACACATCACAAAAATGGTATTTGAAATCGATAGTAAAAATAGTAAAGGAGAAAATTGAAATGTTTAATCCCATTGTTTGCCTATCATCCAGACCACATAACAGCTTAGAACAAAAATCAAACAGAAAAAAGTAGAAATTATAAGAATGAAACACCACCCAACTCATCTTTGTCTATCACTTGGAGAGAACTTGGTAGAATAAGACAAAAACTAACTCCTTCTACCATCTAGGGTCACAAGAAGTTATTTATAACCTCTCCAACACTAAATAAAATAAATAGATGATTCATAAAGGAAATTACTCTGTAATAGGCTTGGGCAGATTGTGGGTGACATGAATGGTGGTTTGCTTCTTCAATCCTCATCAAGTGAGATAAGAGGAAATAGGGGAGAAGTGTACCAAACTGGTCATTTTTTCACAATTAAAACTTCACGAACATTTTTTGACAATTTTTAAAAATACTTCTCAAGGTTATAAACTGTAGATAATCATCTTAGTACATGGATAAAAATAAAATAAAATATATTCATATAGTATGAATCATGAAAATTATTGAATTAAACATAGATTTACCACATCACTCCTAAATTCAGTACTAATGCATTTAACTCTGATAAATAGAATCACTTTGATTCATATGATATGTATTTCAATTTTAAGTTAGTTATTTGATAAAAATAGAGAATTAACAAGGTGCAATCTACCAACTATTTTAATATTTTGATAGCTTTGTTATTTTGTCGGTAGTGCTTGACCGTTCACTATTGCTTGAGTTTACTCCTTTCTTTTATGAATAAAGCACAAAAACATTATAAATTTGGAAAATGAAATAAGCATATTTTTTAAGAAAATATTATATAAATCTTATTTGAGCATTTTCAGCATAATCAACATTTCTAAGGTCATGAAAATATTTTAGTTTAAAAAATTAAATTAGGTAATTCAGTGTTTGTTATTAGTGTTGATACTTATTCTTATGTAATGTGTTTTGAATCAATAGGTATAGTATTTATAATGTTATGAAATTATCAAAATAAGTGTCCTTATGACCATGAGTTTATAACTCATCTAGTTAAGTGGGTTGACTCCCTTCTTGAAAATTTGAAATAGACAACTAGTGGTGAAATCACATCAAATTGTTCCAAGGATCAATGAAATATCATGAAAATACTATTTAATATCTCAGCACAATTTTGGTAGTATAAAATTACTATTTTATGATTGAATTATTCTTTATTATCAAAACTATAATGCTCTTAAAGCCAAAAAAAAGGTTATTTCATCTTGTATTATTCTTTCCATTATCATTTGGGAGCGTCAAAAATATTGCATGGTAATCATCAAAAGAGTTTCAATTTTTTTGGATAGTTTCGATATACTTATTTTATGAGTTAGTTTGTATTTTTTGAAGTGAGTTGACTTACTTCGTCTCAAGTGTGAGTGAGATGAAGGGGAAAGGCAAAAAAAGAAAGGTGTTGTGCAATGCCTTATCAGATCTGTGTGACAATGTCTTAAACCTAAACTACGATATTCTAGATTTGCACTATAGTGCGCTAGACCCACGTTATAGTAACAAAAGCTACCAACACTCGTAGTATAGTAATTGACTACAAGACAAGTATTTGGGTGCTTGTAGCTAGTTATTAGGAAAAGGGTCATAATTCAACTGGAGAGAAGCATAAAAGAAGATCTTCTTTTGAATGTAGAAAAAATTGAGAAGCCATAGAGAACTCTTCACAACATTTTTGGGGTACCACCAACAGATCCTCAACACTTACACAACAATTATAATAGTATTTGAAACTTTGATTTGCTTTATCAACTCCAATCTTTGTACCATAAGTCTTTGGCTTTCAAGAGTCGAACATACATTATAAGTCATACACTTGGGCTCTTTTTAGAGTCATGAATTTAAAATAGAAAGTTAGCATCAAAACTCTATAAGCTAGTGTTTAACTCCATAAAGTTCAGCTATCATTCTCTACCCATGAACAATATAAGTCCAAAGCTTCCTTCATAACTCTTGACTTCTTCGACTAAATTATAAACAGGCTCACCAAGTATGTTGAAAATTCGTTCAAGAGTGGTTCCACTGATTAGAAGATGTAAGAAGAACTTGAGGAAAAAAAGTTAATACTAAATAGTTGAGTTTTCGTCTTGTTTTAGTTTATTACAATGGTAAATTTAAAAGTGTCAAGTTAGATATGCACTGACAAATCTATAGGTAACTATCAAGTATAGTTGAGTTTATTAGAGTTATGAATCTACTAGAGGTATGATGATACCTCTAATAGACAGGGGAAACACCTAGTGAGCAAAATCACTATAAAGTAGTGTTCTTAGTTTGATGCCTTGAGTTGACTTTAGTGACCTGAATCACATATGGCAAGAATCAAAATTACTACTTTTACCTTTTTTTTCTATGTCACTTTTTGGCCCACATGAAAAGTCCAACTTATCTCTCTCTCTTGGTTCCTTCTTTGACCCTTCAAGCATATCTATCCTATCATTCTATGAGCAAAGTTTTAGAACTTCATTGCAATAAGTTGACCTTTGCTGTCATTGTGAAACCTTTCTCCGACAATCTTCCATGTATGAGTTGACTTTGTACAACGGTAATCACTTGAGGAAAAATAACCATGGTCATCACCCATCATAACTCAGATGGAGCCGCTACATCCTTGTTGTGAATATCTCTTATATAACGTGATTAGTCAATTCATAGATCCTAGTGAGCATCCCGGGTGCTAGCATTTGCTTGCCAGGTCAACGGAACCCCGGGGTCAGCGCTCCTCCGATTCTGTGTCGGGGAATTGTTCCGATTGACGGGTATCTCTGGAGATCCGTCGCCCCCCTCGGTCTCCTACTGTCGAATCGCTCGGATCGTTTCCGCTTTGGGAATAACCAGTATTCTTGCGGCCGCCTCGCTCTGCCACGTCACAAGCCACGTTTGATAAGACAAATGTCATTCCCGGCTGAGGTTGACGTGTGGAACTGAACATTGGGGCCCACGGGGCATCGGAATAACGGATTCGACATGATGGGGCTAGGCTAAAAGGTAAGATCACCGGGGAGTGCTCAGATCCCGTTTCGGGATTCTATAAAAGGAATCCGAAGTGGCACTCGACCTCATCTGGTTTCTTGTTTTTTTCCTTCTTCTCACCGCTTGAAGAAATTAAAGAAGAGGAAGCCCTAAAATTCTCGTTTCCCCTTCCTCTATGGTTCTTCCCCGGTGAGGTTCCGGCCCAGAACCCTCGTTCTCCGGCAGTGGATCCCGCCTTCTAGGAGTCTTCTGATCCAAGAATGGTGCTGTCACTCTGTGCAGGTTGTTCCGAATCGAGGGGAACAGTGTCGTTCTTGAGGAGAAGGATCGGCCATGGCGTACTCGGAAAGGAGGCTCCGCATAGGCTACGCGCTGGCGCACAAGAAGAGGAACAGCTTCATCCGGCCGTCTCTGGTGGAGCTCGCGCGCGAGCGCGGCATCGACCTCGTTGCGATCGATGAGGGAAGGCCGCTCGCCGATCACGGCCCCTTCCATTGCATCCTCCACAAGCGGTACGGGGAGTCGTGGAAGGCGCAGCTGCGGCAGTACGAGGTGAGGAACCCTGGCGTCCTCATCATCGACCACCCCGAGGCGATCGCGCGGCTCCACAACCGCATTTCCATGCTCCAGGTCGTTTCGGAGCTCGAGAGCCCTCCGGACAAGGAGACCTTCGGGATCCCCAAGCAGATCGTGATCTACGACAGCGTCTCGCTTTCCGACTCTGCTACCTTCAGCGCGCTGCGTTTCCCTGTGATCGCGAAGCCGCTGGTGGCCGACGGGAGCGCCAAGTCCCACAAGATGGCCCTCGTGTACCACCCCGCTGGCCTTGCCAAGCAGAAGCCCCCGGTTGTGCTTCAAGAATTTGTCAACCACGGTGGGGTCATATTCAAGGTCTACGTCGTCGGAGACTACGTCAAGTGCGTGAAGCGAAAGTCACTTCCAGATGTCACTCGGGAGAAGTTGGAGTCCTCGGAGGAGTCGGTCTCCTTCTCCCAGGTCTCCAACCTGACCTCTGTTGAAGACAGAGAGGTAAGGAAATACTACGAGAAGATGAACCTGGACGAGACCGAGATGCCTCCACAGGATTTCCTCACAAAGATCGCCCGCGGCTTGAGGCAGGCGACGAAGCTGCATCTCTTCAACTTTGACATGATCAAGGACACGAATGTCGGGAACCGCTACCTTGTGATCGACATCAACTACTTCCCGGGGTACGCTAAGATGCCATCCTATGAGTCCGTCTTCGCTGATTTCCTCTGGGACGTAGTTCAGAAGAAATGAACGGTCCCCCAGATTGATCACACTTGTAATTCTTTCTTTCTTCTTTTTGCCTCCTTTGGAATAAAAAGAGAGAGCAACGCGTCGCGGTTTCTTTGAAAATGAAAGAAATTCATGATCTAGCAGCTCTGGTAGCGCTTCTTCTTCTTCTTCTTCCATCCACAGACTATTATTTCTCTTGAAACCATGATCATTGCTATTATTATCAAATTCCCCTGAAATTCCACTGATAGAGTAGCTGAGATTTACATGGAGGTTGATTCTGAAACTGCCCAAACGGAGAATCAGGAGAATTCCATCCCATGTGAGTTTCCTTCTGGCCCCAGGAACTCCATTGAATACCCCGAAACTCGTCACCCTCAATAACCGTAGGCCGGTTTCCCCCTTTTACAGGCAGTCGCAACAAGTCTGTTGAAGAAGAAGAAGATGAAGAAGAACCATCACCAAGAACGCTGCTGTTCTAGTCCTCATCTTCTGATCCATCAGGAGCTGTAAGTCGAACGCTCGCTCCTCTTGTGGATTTCTGCTTGATCTCTCTTTTCACCCTGGGTTTTCTCCCTCACTTCTTCTATCATCTCCTCTGATATCCCGTGAGCTGATCTCGTCGTTGGTGCGTTTCTCATGCTACCACAGACGGAGAAATCGGAATGGGATCGGTTGTTGGGCTGGCTGGATCTAACAAGGCCCAATAATACCAAACTCTTGAGGAAGAGTATTGGGCTTTGGGATCTCGCCCTGTTGGGCCCAATAGTACTCTATGCCGAGCTTTCTTCGGGCGGAACAGATTCCTCGGGCTCCTTTCTGGGCCTGAATTATTCAGTCAAGAAAACCCCTAATGGGCCAGCTTGTCAGCCCGCTAGCCTCTTGCAAACCCCGGCACTGACAGTGTGTAAGTGCCCCCCGCTCCTTCCCTTCAGCATTGCGACGAGATTGGTAAGACCCACGCTAATCCAAAAAGTTCAGATCATTCGATCTCAGCCGATCGAATATGATCGAGCAGATACAGGGGAGAAGGGGAGATCCCACCTCTCCGACTGCAGCTGAGCAGGTGGCGGCGCCCCAATCAGTCCACCGCCATGGCATCTGGGCCACCGCTGCCACCATCTTCAGGGCAGTCCCTGCCGTCTCCGGCCAAGGCCCTCAGCTCGTCCGCCACAATTCTCTGTTCGTCCTCTATGGTGCTCTGCAACTCATCCACCTGGACAGGAATTCCGAAAGTGGTCCTCAAAACCTTGAAAATCTCAGCTGACGAAGAAGAAGAAGAAGAAGAAGAGGAAGAGGAAGACTTTGGCTTACCACATGAAGGAGGAGAGAGAATTGCTTCTTCCGAAGATCGACAGTCCTGATGGCGGCTGCATTTTCGGCCTCCAGGGCAGCGATCTCCTTCTCGAGTGCGGTGATTGTCTTCTGGGTCTCCGACCGTGGCGGCTGCAGTGCCACCAGCTTCCTGATCGCCTCGCACTCCTCCTTGTGCTGCCGCTCGATCCGGCTCTCCTCGAGCTGCTTCTTCAGGTCCTCGATATCAGCCCGGGCCTGCTCGATCTGGCGGAGCGCCGCCTGCTGCAGCTCGTTGAAGCCCTCCTTCTCCCGGCGGTTGGCGGCCACCGCCGCCCTGCTCTTGAAGAGGGGCAGCTCGAAGGTGGTCATCTCCTGGAGGAAGGCCCTGTGGAGCCTCTCGCAGTCCCGGAGATTGTCCCCTTCCTTCTCCAGCTCTGCCACCAGCGAGAGGAACTTCTTCTGGAGCCTCTTCAGCGGCGGCTCCCCTCTGGTGGTCGTGACCCGCGTGAGCAGCCTGTGCTTGATTATGGGGTCGTCCTCTTGGGGCCCAAAGGCAAAGTGTGCCGCCATTCCTCCGCCGCTGTGATCTCTTGTCCTCTGCTTACTAATCCCCCCCCCCACGAGTGAGAGAGAGTGAGAGAGACGCTACCACCCTGACGAATTCACCAGATTGCAGTTCATGACATGTTTCTGTGCAAAAAATTGTCTGAAAAATTGTTCTCTTCATTTTGTTTATCATACATTCTGATGTAAATCATCTTCTACTGCCAAAGGGTGATTAATTTTTTTCATGAATCTGATTTTCATTTACATGTTGAATTAGACTGATGAAATCATGCAAAAGCCACGGGCCGATGGTTTTAGTTTGCTGCCTGCCAACCAAATCCAATTGCTTCGATCTGAATCAAAATCATCAGATGTTTGGAATTCATGATCGACGAATTCCAAATAAAAAAAAAATATATATATTTCTTTCTAGAGAGTAGATACTATTCCAGTTCATCTGGTTACGAACAGGTATACGTAGAAATCAAGTACGTAATTGACTGATTTCGGAGAAGTTACTAAATTTTTGGTCCAACAAAATGGCCTCCCTCACAGAGTGGATCTGATCATCGAACCACTCCATCATTTCATTCTATCTCATAATCATCCTCACATTTGATGCACTGAGTTCATGTATTTCCCCCAATCTCCAACCAAGTTCTTTCCGGCCGTTGTCTTTCCCAGTAATGCTGTCAAACAACCGTGGTCATATATATCTGAATAATCAGATCTAACCTTACTTGCACAAGCACAAATTCTTTGATATTTTGTTCTACCTACCAAGTTCTACCGACAATCATATTTTGTAACATCTTAGTCATCGTTCCATAGGCTAGCAAGTGTCTTTCTGTTTATTTCCCAGAAAATTAATCACTGAATATGAAAGCAGACATCGTCCAGTGATTGTAAGCGTCTGGATCTATCCATAGTTCGGTCACTTCGCAGTATTCCTTCATCAAATGAAGATAAAAGATGTTTATCTAAGAGAATGATACCAATATCATAAGCTGAAAACCTAATATGAACGCAACAAACACTAACGCTCTGGTCGCCGATTCTGGTTCAGCAAAAAGGCAGAGTAGATGCAGCCCGGAGAAGATGTACCTGGAGAGCCACGCGATCCGGATATGGCCAGCACCCCGAAGATCGCCGGACGACGGCCGGGAAAAGGAGACGAGGCAGCCGGAAGGGAATGACCTGAGCTGCTTCTTGATCTCAACGAGTGGCCTCCCACTCCCGCGGCGCGGTCGGAGGACGAGAGATCGGGCGGTTGGCGACGGTGTGGGAGGGAGAAGCTCGCCTTTGTGACGGCCGAGGGAGATGGAAATAAAGGGGAGAAGTTCTAGTATCCGCGGGCGGAGCACTCTAGTCTTAAAACACTCCGTAGGACAGGTGACTCAACATATCCTGGCCGTCGGATCCGTCACCGCACGCGGGAGAAGCATCTTAAGTTTACGGTAGTAGTTAATTTTTAAATTTTCATTATGTAAATAGCTTATACTTAGGGAAGTCAGCGGTCGGGCCGGGCCAGGCCGACCACAGGAGTCCTAGATAAGGTTCAAACCTGGGCTGACTCTCAATATGCATCCATCCCTAGAGCGAGAGAGAGAGAGAAAGAGAGAGAGAGAGAGAGAGAGGGAGAGAGAGAGAGAGAGGGAGCGAGAGAGAGAGAGAGAGAGTCTTAAGAACCTTAGGTGACCTTGTGTGAGGGCTTTGGTGTCAAGGGGGGAACTCTATACTCTTTGAGAGTCTTATTTTCACTGCCATCTTTCTCTCTCCTCTGGACTCTCAGTCTGGATTACAACATAGTATCAAAGTAAGCTTGTTCTACCAGGATTTTGAGAAGAAAGATCGATTTTCGTAATCTCTTGAACAAGGATTCAGAAGATGTATCAGATCATAACTATCATAGTTACTTTTTTCATTTAGATCACGATTAATTGAGAAATAACAAGTTTTGAATCACCGATTCACTATAGTCTATTGTTAATTTACATCCTAGCATGTTCTCCTGCCCCTTTCCTTTCCAAATTATTATGGCCTCAAGAATACCACAACAATGGATCAATTCATGATCTATGTGACATTTTTCATCGATATGATTTCAAGGCAGATGATACATAAAATTAAGATGAGATAGGTGAACACTTATGTGTCTTACATGGCATATAAATATGGCAGAACTATTCACTGAAAATGATAATTGTGGTTCTCAGAATTAAGTCATGTTGATTAATTTATCAAAGAAAAATAAACTGTGTTTAATTGATGGATCAATACCAAAACCCACTAGGACTAATATAACATTTGTCAACACTATTTTTTTCGACTTAGTATAAGATTATATCTGTTATGTCATAAGTTAATCAATCATACATAATCAAGATTCTATTGCAACTTATTTCACTAAATCGAAGGCACTATGAAAATAATTTAATAATTTTAATTTTTCTCAATTCGAATATGTCATGCGATTTTTGATGAGATTAAATGATTTTTTAAGGTCTAAATTCGAGCTCAATTATTGCTTGATGATGTTATTTCACTTATCAATCAACAAGGTATTTGCAAAGATTTTACAAGAGGGATCATCACCACCTTTCTTAGGTGTTGATACCTTTAATACACCCACTTTTTCTATCAAATCAACTCACTCTAAGTATATTAGGAGTTTTAGAAATACTTAAAATTTGAATGGTGATAAAAGAAAGATGATCCTTACCATGAAATATAATTTTAATGGATGTATTATTGACAAGTACTATAAATTCTCCCACTATATTTCAGGTTACAAGCCAATGCCAAAATTTGAACATGTCTATTAGTTAAATTTATCATCAACTTAGATCTATAATTATAATTGAATAGCTTGTAGATACTGTTGAATTTTTTTAAAGAGATCTTACTCCACACCAATATCAACACATTTCACTTCATCTGCTACCATGAGTGAATGAGAAAACATGTCAACAACATCTCATATTGCAAGATCATAATGTCTCTTAGTTGCTTGGAATCTTAATTTTTTTTCATCTATACTTGTATGAACAATTGATTCATATCACTTGGTCACTTGCATCTTTAGTGATGGAAAAATATACAATTGATTTTGATAGGTTCTTACTTAATCAAATATCATTTTAATAGTTCTACATACTACTACAAAGCTTGGCATGTTATGAAGGGATGTACCTAAAAAAATTGATTTCCCAAAAAAATTCATCTTCAAGCAAAACATCTATCACTATTAAACTCATACTAGCACTTACAACTAAATATAATTGGCATAGTTAGATGTCAATAATATTTTATTCAATTGTGACTTACTAAAAAAAGTCTTATAAAACTATCTTTGGGGTATGATAGAAAGGGCAATATTATCTACAAATTACATAAGTCAATTTATGGACAATGACCTACATTTAGGCAATAGTATGCTATCTATTTTATGTTCTAAATTATAATTCACTCAATCTAAATTATATTTTTGATTTATTTATCAAATAATTTGACTCTTCATTTCTGGGTTTATTTGTTTATGTTGATGACGTTATACTAGTGTGACCTTCCATTGCAAATGTTAATACATTGAAAACCTTTCCACATCATCAATTTAAGCTAAAAAGACTTAGTAATCTCAAATGTTTTTTTTTGGACTTATACATCTCCCAAACAACAATAGGTATATTTTATCTCAATGTCATTACACTCTTCAATTGATTGAAGACAGTTACTCAGTGATGCTAAACCTATTGCTATCCTAATCAATCATTGTTTACACCTCGATGTGACAATTGGACAACTACTTGACACTATTTTACAATACTTGAGATATTTGACATATTCTCATATTGACTTTGTTGTTCACAAACTAAGTAAATTCATAGCTCAACGTAGATTATCTGATTTGATAGAATCATGTCACCTACTCCATTACATTATTACAATTTTGGACTCCTTTTGATACTCTCATTATGACAACTCCATCTTTGGGTATTTATAATTTTAATGGAGATTCATTAATTACAAAGAAAGTTAATAAGCAATCCATCTATCTCAATCTTCTACTAAACCTAAATATCACGCACTAAGTACTACTATTGTAAAAATTATTTAATAATAACAACTATTACAAGATTTTTACATCACATTATCTTTTCCAATACTCATATTTTGTAACAATCAAAGTCTATATTTATATTATATCTAATCCAACCTTTCATGAATGTACGAAACATATGGAGATTGACTATCATTTTGTAAGTGACAAATTAGTCACTACATATGAAGGACTTTCTTACAAAGTTATAGGAGTATCTAATAAATATCTTTAGAAAACTACTCCCTTCCAATCATTTATACACAATTCATCATGCAAGAGAGTCATAGTCACTTCACACATGACCACTTAAACATGTTGAGCTGTAATATGCTAATAGGAACTATATACTCTTTGAGAATCTTCTTTCCTTTGCCCTATTTCTCTCTCCCCCTAAGGCTCTCAATCTTGACTATGATACAAAAAGGGAGAGAGGGAGATAGAGATATATCTATATATCTGTAAATATATATGTAGAGGGAGGGAGATAGAGAACTAGAGAGAGAGAGAGAGAGAGAGAGAGAGAGAGAGAGAGAGCGACTCAAATCTATAACGAAGTAGAAAGCCCACAATAAGGGGCCCTCTTATAAAGAAGAAGAATCCACGTTTTCCAGAGGGAGGAACTGTCAACATCAGCACTGACAAAAGTTGAAAGAGGGAAACAAATGATAGCACACTCCTCTTATAGAAGTCGCACTGGTAGTCAACCCATAGAAATCCCCCTTATTCAACACTAAATAGCCAACTTGAAGCATGTGAGGAAACTCCACAACTGATGGGCCCATCTTCCCAGAAGTCAACCACCCATTTGGAGTCTGTAAAGAGAAAAAAGTCCATGTGAAGGATTTTTCTTCATCTATTATAATAAATTTATGATATTACAGCTTCGAGTCCATAGAGAGGAAGAAAAATCTAGAGAAAGTAAATTTCTTAATCTATATAATTAATTTATGATATTACTGCTTCGTGTCTACAGATTGATTTCTATAATAAGCAATGTTGGATGGTTGACAAGGGTTATTTTGATGTTAGATAAACGGAACGAGTTGTCACTGACTTTGACACAGGTACTTGTTTTCTTACAAATATGGGACTATTATAAACTGACCACATCAGCCGCTGTCAACCATGGTTAACCGGGATCTGTTCTTCCCACATCAACCCTCTGGATGGTTGACCAGGGTTAACTGGAGTCAGACAGATGGGTCAGTTGACACTGACTTTCATAGGAAAGTCCTGTCCTTACAACACTGACCTCTAGATGGTTAACCATGATTAGCTGGGTTTGGATAGATGGGGCAGGCTGGCACTGACATATATGAGGGTGCTAATGTTCTTATCACATTAACCTCTAGGTGGTTAACCAGGGTTAACTGGGGTTGGACAGATGTGCGAGCACTGACATTGAATTTTATATTGGTTCCAATTCTCCACCGTGTCAACCTCTGAATGGTTAACCATGGTCAACGGGGACTGGGTACATAGCAAGGGGCATTGACATTTTGTTACTGTATGGACCTCTGGAACGCAGACCATAGTTAACTGGGACTAGATGGGGCAGACCGACTCTACTGATCCTGATTCAAATTGGGGTTAGATTGGATTGTAGGATCGATCCATATGTATCTCTAATTGCCATTATGGGATCTCTCCATCTCTGTCTCTGTCTCTGTCTCTCTCGTTCTCTCTTGCTACAACTTTGAAGCTCTAAATACAAAGAGAGCCCAGGAAATTCTCTGCATTCTCTTCCATTCTACAAGCCCAACCTCATCTTAACCCAAATATTTTGCACTCACATTCAATAAAGAATGGGACAACCGCGGAATTAGATAATAACCAGAGAAAGAACAAGATCCGGACAGTTAGCTACATCACCATTTAGGATATTAGCACCAGAAAATTGACTTTTCAGATGTATCAGTATGTATGGCCCCAAAAAACCAAGGATTCACAGAGGGCACTGGAGGGTTTCATTCCAATCTTCACTCCATCAGATCGGGGAATTCTTGACAATTTCTTCCTTGTTTTCCTTTTTCTGGAATGGACTCCTTATAATGCTCCCTCTCTGTACACTGTTGACGATCTGAATATTTGCAGAACCAATGAGAGAGATCAAATCTACTATTTCATCCCACACCCAAATATCACCTACCCGGATTGGGCTTTGACGATGGGGGGAAGAGGAAGATGCTCAATTTTTTATGAGAAATCAGGTGCAGTCTCCTTCAAGGGAAGAGAGAATACTCATAGAAGTCCCACAAGAAAAGTTTATTGAGAATCATTATCCTAGCCAAGATCAACATCCCAAAGCCGTTTATTTAGCTTGAGATGAAGTGGGTCACTTTGGTTTGATATTCGGAGACTTTCCATTCTTGTTATTCTTCAAGAAATTGTGGGCCACAAAAGTTCAGGGATAGAGAGCGGTCTAAGATATTAGGAGATTGTTGACCATACTCCATCAAAAACTTAAAAACTCCATTCACAAGGCATCTCATGAAACCCAAGAAGAATCCCAGAGCTCTGAGAAGATCTGTAGTTCCTGCAGTGTATCTACGGGGAAGAACTAAATGAATTCCCTTCACTGAGGGAAGAACATCCAATCCTTCTTTTCCCCTGCGAGCATGCCCAGAGAACTAATTCTACCACCTTGTTCTTTCTGTAGTTATCCTTTCGATGGGCTATCTTCAGGCTCCATAATCTAGGATCTGCTGATCATTTTAGAGGACCTTTATTCCTTCAAAATTTTTTAGCTGAAGGTACTCCATGACCCCTAGAATGTAGTTTCAGGGCCGTGCTAGTCTTTTCTTGGAGCCGTTACCTCTACTCCACTAAATTCTCTTCAATGGCGGATAATTAAAGCGGGTTTTCTGCCTGCCAGGGGATGCTGGGCATCCTGATCCCATAGTAGGCCACCATAATTTCTTGAGTAGCAGGGATTACACGGATCCGCAACAGCACAAGATTGTTCTTAATGACCGTAAGATGGAAGCTCCAATGCTAAAAAGCTGGAGACTGAAGGGTAAATTTCATCAATGAATCAGATGGATAGACAAACCTATGCGAGAAATCTGCAGTCTGCGATTTAAGCAGATGATCAGATGGCATCTTCCTGGCAGCGATTGCTCACGCCAACTAAAAGAAATGGATTAAACTAGATGAAATGGTGAGAGATTTGCCGTTTTTCTTCTTATTTCTTTGAACGAAACCTTATTCAGCAATTGTTGGAGGAAAAAAAAAGAGATGCAGAGAGAAGCATATACGAGGTAGGAAAAGATCGCCATATGAGACACTTTTTGTAAAGAAAATATTCAATGAGGAGGAATACTGCTTACTGAAAGGATCTGAGACACGGCAAGACGCGAGGAGTGCTACTCTGATTCGGGATCCTTCTTCGGACCTGAAGGTTTTTTTCAAAAACCGAAGAATATGGATAAGAGAAATGGAGAAGATGCGGAAAGGGTAAAGGGGGACCGAGGGCAACCGTGGAACTCATGGGGGCGGGCGTCCTTCCCCCAGCCGACGCCGCGGGTGGCCTCGAGGTATTGCTGGACGAGGTGGCGGCACTTCTGCAGGTGGTTGATGCCCTCGACGCGGTAGCACCACTTGAGCTTCTCCCGGATGATCTTCGCCGTCTCGATGTGGATCCACTTCTCGCGCACCAGGTGCTCCCTGTACTCCAACATCGCCACCGGATCAGCATAGGGCTTCGCCGGATCGAAGTCATCGGGCGGGCTCTCGTCGAACACCACCCTGGCCTTGCGCACCATCCTTCCTCCCCCACCGCCCCAACTCCCTCACCTCTCCGCTAATTCCGCAGACGACGAAATCAGGCCGAGAGAGGAAACGGCTCTCTCCCTTTGCCCCCAATCCCTATTTGATCGATCTTAGTGAAAAAAACTGTTCTTTGGCCTAGTGGGCTTCTTTGTGGCCAACCCATGAACTCTGGGATTTTTTTCTTCATGTCGTCGGTCATTCAATTAAAGCCCATCACGAGGAAATGACGAAATAAAGCATATAATTATTTCATTCATCTTTGAAAATTTAAGGGCGCTAATTAGGGTTTTCAATGGCCCGCGTAATGGGATTCTTGTGGTCAAATCATAAGGATAGATTCTTCATGAAGCCTTGAAACTTGTTGTGTACACTATTCCTAAAGCCTCAACATTACAAAGTTTCTTCTATAATAACTATACTTGTGTCTCTGATGGAGCTGAAATAAGAAAACATAATCCACATATTAAGAAATTGGACATGAAAATAATCTGTTATTAGTTCCTTGGTTATGTTTATATGTATAGGGTTTTTGAGTTTTGCTATCCAACTCAAACTCTTAACAATTTGGGAAATAAGACGTGCTACTAGGAGGGTAACTAGTGTTTTTCTCTGACTTGTAAGTAATGATATTTTGGTGTCTTTTAAGAATATTCATAAAGTTGAAACCTATAATGTACAAAATATATTGCATGTTGAAAAAAATAGTGAGATGATGCTCTAGGTATATAAACTAGATTTCTCAAAGGTTTTAGCTAGACTCACTATATTCCACAACTCTAGTCTACCCAAGTGCTTCCCTATGTAGCTTCAAATTTTATGGCTCTAGAGGCCCAACTAGATTGACACCTAATTAATTTGTTATGAATTTACACCTATGTCAAGATGAGTACTAGATAGTAACATTACAACAGTTCATGAAAAAAATAATGCTCTTATACCAAGAAAATAATATCTAAAAATATAATGAAATTAGATAAAACATTTGACAAAATACTAGGATCACATTCAAAGATTTTCAAAGGTCATTAATTTTTCAAATATTTCATAAAATAAAATATAATTCTTAACATTAAGGTTATTTTCTTGAAATTTTTGATGGATGTCTTTATATGAAATATCTTTGTCCAATCGATAAGGTGTATATCTTTCTAACTATGATCATGAAATTCATTTGACTAGGTAAGTCTACTCCCTTGCTAAAAACAGCAAGTGACACGGTAGGCCATAAGTTGGCATATTTTTCTAATGTCTCAACATAATCGACTAAGCAAAAAATTATTAGTTATCCTTCTATGTAGTTTTTATCATCAAATCTATGAAGGCTTTTGCTTCGAAAGCTAACAATTTTCACCAGCCGAGAATGGAAGTATTTAAACTAAATCTCATGTTGCTAACAATGAAGTGATGAACTCCAAGCTTATAAGTAAAGTGTAGTATCCCATAGCATTACTTAAAGTGGGCAAGGAAAATGAGAGGGTTTAAGATTCAAGAGGTTTATTTTAATAATATTTACAAATACAGGGTTATTCTTGTACTAAGAAACTTGCTCAAATTAAAGATAACAAATGCCTCAAGATTTTCTCTAGTTTCTATGAATTCATCAAGAACAGTTGTGACTTTCTTTAGTAGGTTATTTTTACTCGAAGATCCATCAAATGGATATGAAAGCAACATTTTCGAATGGAAGAAAATGATATTGGTATTTATTTAGAGAGATTTAACTCACAAAATCATGACCACTTGATATGTAACCTTTTAAAATGTATGTGTTCAGTTAAGAAAATACACTACTGATTATGTGTGAAATGCAATGATATGATTGAGGATTCTATGTACACAAAAATAATGAGATCAAATAAATTGTCTTAAATATTGATGATAGTTACTTTTCTGCTAGTGACTATAAATTAATGCATGAGGCAAAATAATTTCCTATGAAGAGCTTTGAAATAACATAAATGAGTGAAACTTCTTTTGTCATAAGAAATCTTATATTATCTTATAAAGCTTATGTTATTCATATTTTTTAAGAGTTTCAATAAGCAAGTTTATACTTTTACTTTCTTATATGATACATTAAATACAACAAAATTCCTAGAAAATGATTTTGAGTATGAGGGCATAAAGATTATTATTAATGATTTTTCTTAAAAATAGTTCAATATTTGGTTGATGTATTACTTTGAAATATCCGAGGTAGATTCTTGAATAACCATGGCATAAAACATTCAATAACTACAAGTCAAATTGGAATGTTAGATCTAATGAATTAAGGACAATGTACTCACACAAAAAGGTCAATCATTGAGAAAAAAATTTGGCCTTTGGACTGAAATGAGATGGGTTTCGAAGAAGGTCATAAGCCAATGTCTGCTTATGTTTTCTTGCCCGCTAAAGGAGCAATCCCATAGTAAAGTAGAAAGCAAATAATATGTTATTTATGTGCTATGTAGGCTGAATTTACTTCATGCCTCTAGGCAACTATACAAGTTAAGTAGCATGATTAGGGGTCAAAAAGCAGTCAATTCCATTTTAGGCCATGAGAAATTTTGTTATAATATTACAATAGTAGAACATGTGGTGATGAAAAAGAATGTGGGATTTTCTAATGTTAAACATCTTTGGCTAGGTAATTTTTTTAAAAATTACTCATAATGGGTACATACAATGCATAATTAATGGTGACCAATAACATTTTGAGACATGGATGGTCATGTTTGGGTTATGACACTTGGAAGGCACCTTTGGGTGGGGACTCGTGGGAACCATTTGCTTGTGTGATCCTCTCTTTGGTGAATTGGCTGCCGTTACGATCTAGCTTGAGGGCATATTAGGAATTATCATGTAGGGTTCTCTGCCTATATAATGAGTGATAAACGCCGATGAAAACCGAGATAGTTTCATCCGCCGCGCCTCCTGTTTGCCCATTGAGATAGAGGAAACTTCATCCCTCTATCTTCTTCTTTTCATGGTAACATGGTATCAGAGCGCTAGAGCTACCATCACTATCTCTTGTCTAGTCTCAAGTTTTTTAACCTTGTAGTTGTCAAGATAGTGGGCATATTAGAGGAATATGACGAGAAATCCCTTGTCATCTCCGATTTAATATCCATCTTCATCTTGTTCTTTGGTCTCAAAGTTGGCATATTAATTGACATCATGTTCATCAACAGCATGGCAGCCCTTTGGTCTTGAGGGCAGTGAATCTTTCTAGTTTGTTGGCAGCCATTTGGTCTCCAGGGTAGTGAATCTATACATCTTTGATTATTTGATTTCTGCAAGGCAAGTTTGATTAGCAATAGTTCTTCATTTTTTTATCAATGATGTCTCAGTGTTGCATTCATCAATGACATTTTCATTATTAGTGTTTTCATCATCGACAATCTCATCAATAGTTTATTTCTTTTACCATCCAAGAAGACCTATTCTAAAGTTATTTTATTTCTTGTTGGAGACTATTATGATGTAGCCTAAAGGCGTAATAGGAAATATCATGTAGGATTCTCGCCGTATGAAATAGGAGATAAAAGTCAATAAAAACTGAGGTCGTTTCTGTCGCTCCTCCCCTCTGTTGATTGAGATGCAGTCTATCCCTTCATATTCTTCCTCTTTTCATTGTAGTAGTGTTCGTAAGATTGGGCCTTCAATCTCCATTGGAGGAGACAACATGTTAGCACATTCACCACCTTCCTCCACCTATCAAAACCCTAATTTATAAAGGTTTTCTTTATCTCTAGGCCCTTCTCCTCCAAAATCATGCATTATATCTATGTAGAAATAGATCCTATACGACAGTGTTTTTAATTTTTTGTGGAATGCTTATTTCTTTTGCGGAGTTAGATATGAGCCTCTTAATCGTGGTTCAGTCCAAAATTACATGAATCAAACAATTATTTCAAACAGCTTCTTCTGATTCGATATTTATTATGGCAGGATCTAGGGCGAGCACACCGACTACAGAAGGGAACATCGGCTCGCTTCTTGGGATGAACGGCTTCCAGTTGGCGCCGGCGGCGGCCCTAGGCGGAATGGCTGCTGTATCCCAGACAGGAAAGAGCGTGAGATGCGGAGGAGCAGGGTTTGACCTCGGAAACGTGGCACCTGTGATATCCCGTATCGCCGCGTTGCCGGTAGGCGAAATCCGGCCAGGAGGGTTGAACACGACGCATTGGACACCTGAAAAAGAGAGACAGAGAGCGCACAGGCCGCCATCTTTTTGCCGGCGCAATGATACCCAATGCGGTTACGGACAAAGAAATTGTCTTTAAGTACCGGCCATCCACCCTCCCCATTCCTCATCTCGAGCTGCGACATTCTTCTTCGTCTAGGAAGCAAGAAGGTCCGTTACTCTCTCTCTCTCTCTTTCTCTCTTTCTCTCTAGCAAGGTACGAGCACTTCCCATTTTAGCTAGTCTTTCATCTTCTTGTGATTGTTAAGGATAAGAAGACCATCACGTTTCGCTAGTCTCTCGCAGGATCACTCAAGTCCAGAAGATGTCGTCGTTTTCATTGCCCATGGATGGAGATGCCACTAGCGAGCAGACGATCGGCTGCCCGTTGGACTTAACCGGGGACTTCATGATACTGCCCTCCCTTTCCATTTCCATCTCCGATACCGTACCGGCCCTCGTGGCGACTCCCACCGTCGTCGAAGGAGTAATCCGAGTTTACCATTCTGTTATTCATCATTATCATTGTCATCATTATCGTCGTTGTCGTCATCGTCGTCATCTTCTTTTTCTTGTCCAACGTTAACCCCACTAAAACGGATCTCCATTTTTGCGTTCTTCTCCGACTGTGAAGAACGTTGAAGGCCGTGAGAATCTGAACGAAAGAGATGACGAATCAAGCTGCGACGAGAACTATGTTGCTCCGATGCCGCAGCCTCCGCAAACTGAGCAGAGGACCGGTGAGAGGAGCAGTGGCTGGCGCTCCGCGAAGAAGCGTCACACCCCAGAACAGATAATGGGGTTGGAGGCGTAAGGAACAAACCCTACACAAAATATCGACGATAGAAACACACGAACGCGAGAGGTTAACTCTCCCTTCTTACGTCGACTATCATCGAGAGTGTTTTTGCAGGGCCTTCAGGGACTGCTGTCACCCGAGCGACAAGCAGCGGCTCAGTCTGAGCGAGGAGCTAGGGCTGACGCCTGAGCAGGTGAAGTTCTGGTTTCAGAACCGCCGGAATCAACTGAAGGTAGGGTTTGCCCACGTTCTCGTCGTCCCTCCATTTTTTGCTCTTTCTTCTCTCTCTCTCTCTCTACCGTGAGAACAGAGCTCTGGCAAGAGATGATCGGAGGAATGATGCTGTTGAATGAATCTATTCATGACGTTGGTCAGAAACAAGTGATTTCGCTGACGGGCTTGGTCACTGGCTTTGCAGAATAAGCATGAGAAGGAGAGCAACATCCATCTTCGTGCGGTGAACGAGAGATTGAAGGACGTCAACTACGAACTAAAGGCTTCCGTGTGTAACATTATGTGCGGATCATGCGGCCGCCCTACCGTTGTTCGCAAGCCGTCGCCGGAAGAGCTGCGTCTCATGAGGGAGAACGCGTGGCTCAAGGGAGAGGTAATCAGACGCAAACCCTTCGCCGGTTCCGCAATATTTACTGACGGTGCTGTGTTCTCTTCCACTGATAGGTGGACAAAATATCGTCCTTCCTGAGAAATCACGGATTCTTACCGGAGCAGCCGATATTGCCGAGTGTGCCGCTGCCTTCTCAAAATCTCGACACTGGTTTCTATCCCCCATACACTGGTGGGACTGATTTTTGAATGGGTTCGGTGTCGCCTTCCTTGAAGCTTGGAGTTCCAGAATAAAGCTTCAGAGCGTAGCTTCTGTCTTTAAATTTTCAGTCGAGTGTCAGCGTCGATAGTTGTCTGTGGGTTTAAAGTTTGAGTTGGTTGCTTGAAGTTTGCATTTCTAGTTTTAACACCTGCTTTGAAGAGTCCAAGTCAGTTTCCCTGGTCAGACGTCTGTGATTGTTTTGCTTGAATTTAAGTTGTTGTCGCCTGTTACCGCTGTTTGTTTTGCAAAAGAAAGACTCAAGAGAATGGGCACATGAGTAATGGGTCAATTCGAAATTATTAGAAACTTGTACTGCATTGGGAAAGCGGGCTAAGTCAAAGTTGTTTCGTTTGTCTAATCTAATCATGGCTCCAACCGGATTATACTTCTCCTCTGCTTTTTCTTATTACACCTGGCTTTCGCCACAGGCTGGCAGGTGCAAATATCTGCAACTATTAGTGAAAATTAGAGTAAAATGTAGAAAACCAAAGGATCGAAGGAGACCCAATAGAGGGAGAACAGTTTTACCTTATCATAAACGTCTCATGCCCCTTTCCGTCTTCATTTCGACTCAATAGAGGGATGGGATACAAGAATCAACTACCAAGGATCATACATGAATCTAGTAATCTCTGTTATAGTTAATTGCAAAATCAATCAGGAGATGAAAAAATAAGATATGCCTTGATTAGACTCATTCAATTAATAGTACAATCATGACTATGTTGTAATTGAGAATGTATCACTAAATTATTTGGCAATATGGTGTGTTGGTTTGTAAATGGGGGAGGGGCATGAAGAGGATCAAATTATGCCTAGAGTGGCGGAATGTAATGCTTCTCAACTGAGAAAGAAATTGATTGATTATACAAAAAATACCTTTTCAGAAAGATCAGATGCAGCTTATACCTTGCATTGAGGATAAGCTGTCGAGCACAAGGGCACAAATATGTACGAATGGGGATATGAATGCCAGTATGTAGAATCATGGGGGCATGGGCAGAAAACTGGAAGTGGATGAACACGAGAAAGCTAATGCAGAGGCATCGACAGGTGTTTAATAACGTGTTCATGTAGGTGGAGCGCATACACAGATGGAAACATAGCGCGCTGAACAACACATGAACAGGGAGGACAAGCATGGATAAGCGGATTGAAGCACTAGAGAGGGGCAGAAATGGGAACGATGGGAATATACTGGGTATCAAGATTTCTGTCTTTACTCCACCATATATTTCTTATGGCCACTGATTTTTCACAACATTGTGTTAATTCATTCTTTTATTAGCCTATAATTAAATGTTATAACTGTGTAACTTGTACAGTTAAGGCATGCATAAGAATTGCAACCAAATGATAGGATAATTAAGACTAATAGAAACGTTAGACATAGGTGCCTGATGGGAGCGAAATATGAAAAATTATTACTTAAATTTAAGAAAAAAGAGGGAAGAAACTTAAATATAAAAATCTTCTCCAAGCCACAAGGTCGTATACAGTCCTTTCACAATGATGACACTCCCCAATAATCGGCCTAAGCCCTCTAGATGAAATTTTTCACTATCATGCCTAGCTCATCTGCCTACTTAGTTGCCCCCTCATGCTGTTTATTATTTGGCATATGGAGTCCCATACACACAATGGGTGTAAAGGGACATTCCTATATTTTGTGACATATGGATAAAAGATTGGCGGTCGATTCTGCACTCCACGCTTGTTCCTCTCTCTCATGTTCTCTTTGCGCCCTTCCCCTCTATTCTTGGTCAGGACTAGTTGAGGCAAATGAGAGTTTGAGCGTCCTCTCTCTACCACTTCATCCTCAAGGGCTCAAATCTTTGTTCTGGGGTATTATTGATCCCTTATGATTGTGCTTTATTTTTAGGGAAGAGATTCAAATGCTTGTGAAGTGACCATTTGTTTTCTACTTTCTTCTATTATTGATTAATGCACTTATTCTCTTTTGTAACATAATTAAATATTATTTATGCTATTTCACCTTGTTTTCTGGGCAATACCACCTTGATATGTTAGACTATGTCTACATCAGAGTAATGTTACTAAGTTGTCAACTAAAAACTTCAAGGTTTTGATATGTAATAGTTGTTGATATTTTTTGTCTATGATTAATGCAAATTGATTGACGTATTGATTTTTTTGGAATTATAAGTCAGGTGAAACACCATGAGGAGGGGGGGGAGAAGTAGGGTTTCTATGATTTCTACCTATTTTTTGATTTAGGTCAATCCTGTGTATGTGCTGCAATACATGTTAGCACTCTTATATCGTGATAATGACTCTAAACTCTCACTCATGAAGAACAACAAGATTCTACACTAGTTCACCCCTCACCTTGCTACTTTTACTAATTTTATTTTCTTTCAAGTATTTATTAATTTCCTCAAGAAGTACATATTAATTAATTTTCGTGAGATTAGTCACTGATGTGACTTAGTTGTTGTATAGTAAATTACACAAATTTAAAATTTATAAAACTAGAAAATATGAATTTTCAGATATTTAGAAGTATTTCTGAACAAATATATCAATTATAATTCAATAAAACTTCCAAAAATAGTGGTAATTTTCTAAGTCAATCACAAGGATGTAATATAATATCAAGTAATTATTCAGAATTTTTCTCAAATAATATTATTTTCTATGAATTTTACACTAGGAAATAAAAATGAAATATATTTAAAATTCACAAAAAAGGAAAATAAGGTGCAGACATTAGAACGACGTCAGCGTCCAATGAACGCGAATCGGGCAGAAATAAAGTTCCACCCGATGATTCTTACAGATGATTTAATTGATCAAATTTAGATCTGTAAAAGCGAAAAGAATCGTAATTGAATGAAGTATAGCTTAATAAGTTTAAATCACATAAATTATCACTAATGAAGTGAAAATTAAGTTGAAAGTAGGAAAATAGAGTTCTGGCGTCACGACGGCGATGCGTCGACAATGCACTAGAATCTTGAGCGTTCAAGAGGATCGTTGTGCAGTGTCCACGGCCTCGAAGGCTCTCCTTGGACAAGAACGATGTGGGCAATTTTTAGATCTCCTTGCGAAGTCTAGAGATCAATGAAATGGGTCGTCGAATCGTCTCTAGCAGCTATCACCTGACGGAGCAGAAAAATGGCGACTTTGCGGCTCTCTAATAGCTGTCACCCGATAGAGAGGAGCTGGATGGAGGTGGGGCGTGTGTTAGGGAGCTTCATCCTCAGGTCCGCACAGCAAAAGGAGGCTCTTCATCGCATCTAGTACGCTCTCAAGAGGTGACGACTTGTCTCCCGACGGATCGTCCTCTTCTCGACGATGACTTGTTTGTCGATCAATCGGAAATGCTTTACTTGATGGATTCATGATCCTTTTATCGCGAATTGTTCAACAATTTTAGTAACAATGCTCCGTGAATCGTATTGACGAGATTTTCGCCGATGATCCAGCGATTCTGGCGGCTTAATCCTTCACTGGCGATCTGCAAGAAAGTCACAATAATTAGATAAAAAAATATGAGTTTTGGCTTTGGGAAGATTCAAACCCACGCTAGTTGCTCGCTTGCATGAGAGAGATTGACATAAGTACTCTAATGCTCTTATCAAATGACGCCATCATGGTATATCTCTGTTATAAATAAGGAGTATTGTAGGTATTAAAATCATTGAAGTCTTTTTGGGGAAGGTGTGATGCGGGTTTAATCTCACATCATTTGTTCGCCGAAGTTTTGGGCGAATATATACTAATATTACATTTGCAAGTAAGTCCCTTTCTCACGCATGTACAACCACTCCTTGCCCCACAACCAACTGGCCACTAGTGACGTGGAAAGGGAGTGGCGCACACGTGCCCCTATTGGTCCTAGCTGCTCGAGCCTCTACTCGTAGCTCCTCCCTGACAGTGCTTTCAACCCACTTGCGGGCCCGACTGGCTGGTAGGTACCCCCCATTTTACTATATATATATATATTTTTTTTTTCTTCATTTATCTCAAAAGTAAGATTGTAAAAATCATATAAATTCATATAAAATTACATAATTAGCCAAAAATTCATGTTAATCAATTGAAAACCACTTTTTGCACTTGTAACACAAATATAAGTCTATTTATCATGATTTAAGGCTAAAACTATATTATTTACTAATTATTAACTCATGATAATGAAGACTTATTAGTCACCCAAATATCTCAAGTTTGTCTCCTCAAAGTCTCAACATTTTTGCACCCAAATATAGATACTGGTGCCTCGTGTCATCATTCAAATCACTCTCCCCTTAAAACTCAATTACCTTAATGCCTAATAGAAATAAAAAAAAATGGTGATGAATTCTAATTATTTACCAAAATCAGTTGGAGTAGAGGATGCAACTTTCTTGTGTGTCGTTGTTACATATGGTTAGCAGAGCTTGATGTTCTCACTTGAATCTTTGTGTGCTAAATATATTTTTGATATAGAAGTCTTTTTCTATAAGTGAGCTTGTTTCCTTTAATGGTTTCTTGATATTACTTGATCTTTAACATTTGAGATTCTCATTTAGAAAATTGTCAAGTTTCAAAATGTGTGGTAATGACCTTTGAACCTTCCAATCTTTAAATCTCTTGGTTCCCTTGCCTTTTTTGTTCAAATTTGAATTGGAGTTTCCTAACTTGATGAAGAATATGATCACCAGTACCTTGATCATGATCATCATCGAGGGAATCTTCATCACCACGACGCACCTCGTCACGACGATGGCCACGATTGATTGGGTGGTCGTTGGCCACAGGATACTTATGATCGCCGCGAGCCAGTCTACCCTGCTCGTAGGGACGATCTCCCACGTCCGCCACCACCACCACCCCGACCCCACTACAAGGACTATCGACCCCACGGACGCGACCAGGGACACGATAGGAGAGACCTTCCAGGTTACAAAGCTGACCCTTCCCGACGAGCAGAGCTCAATCAGTGAGCAAAGCGTCAGCCACGAGATCGCGATGATTCCTATTGCGACTACCAGAGTGCTCTAGACTTTCACCAAGCACCCTAGGATGCCCACCAGGATCGTTACTACGATCAAGGGCGTTACTCGAGTCCTCCCCACCGTGACTTTGGTGGTGACCATAGGGCCGATCGATTGGATGATGGGGACAGGCGACGTGAGGATCATAGGGCCCGCATATTGAAAAGTGTTCACGCCGATGTGGCAGTCTTTGACGGCTCCAGTGAGCCCAAGGACTTCATAGATTGGGAGTCTAGTATGAACTCCTATTTCCGATGGTACCGCATAGATGATGATTTATGCGTGGAGTATGTGGAGATGAGACTTGGTGGATAGGCCAAGATCTTTTGGGAAAACGAGAGCTATGCGGCACATCGACAAGGGCAGCCCATCACATCATGGGTTGATATGGCATCACACTTGAGGAACAAGTATGTTCCTCGATAGTACGAGTCGATGCTGTTCCTCAATTGGTTAGACCTCCGACAGGGCAAGATGTCCGTCCGAGACTATATTCAGGCTTTTGAGGAGTGCTGCATGAGGTGTCGCTTTGTCGAGGACTCATGTGTGGTTTTACGCATTTTCACCCACGGACTTAGTCCACGGCTTCAGAACGAGGTGCTGAAAGGCAACCCGTCTGAAGTAGATGAGGCCTACCGCATAGTAGAGCATAGAGAGCAACCCGCTGACGTGACTTAGTCATTGTATATAAAATCACGCAAATATAAAATTTATAAAACTAAAAAATATGATTTTTCAGATATTTAGAAGTATTTCTGAACAAATATATCAATTATAACTTAATTAAACTTCCAAAAATAGCGATAATTTTCCAGGTTGATCACAAGGATGTAATATAATATCTGGTAATTTTTCAGAATTTTCCTCAAAGAATATTATTTTATATGAATTTTATACTAAGAAATGAAAAATAAATATATTTAAAATTCACGAAAAAGGGAAATAAGGGAGCGGATGTCAGGATGATGTCAGCACCCGACGAACATGAATTGGGCAGAAACAAAGTTCTGCCCGACAATTCTTACGTAAGTGATTACAGACGATTTAATTGATCAAATTAAGATCTATAAAAGCCAGAAGAATCGTAATTGAACGAAGTATATTTTGGTAAATTAAAATCACACAAATTATCACTAAATGAAGCATAAAGTAAGTTGAAAGCAGGAAAATAGAGTTCTGGCGTCGCGGCGGCGATACGTTGGTGATGTATCAGAATCTTGAGCGTTCGGGAGGATAGTCGTGCAGTGTCCACAGCCTCGAAGGCTCTCCTTGGACAAGGACGATGTGGACAATCTCTAGATCTCCTTGCGAAGCCTAGAGATCAATGAAATGGGTCGTCGAATCGTCTCTGGTGGCTGTCACCCAGCGGAGCAGAAAAACGACGACTTTGCAGCTCTCCGACGGCTGTCACCCGATGATGGCGAGCGGGACTTGTCTCCATCAACTCAGGAGACACCGGCAGTCCTTCAGCCCGATCAAAGCGCGAAGATGAAGGAGCCAGGCTTTCGCTACACAGCCTAGCCCTTCGGGACGACGACATTCCACCTCCACGACGACGACAAGCTCGAGCTCACCCTTATCTTAGTTTAATTATCAGCTACAACAGACGGACTACACCGGCGACATCAGTAGGGTCTGCACTACCCCCCCGTCCGCCACCAGCCGATGCATCCAATCGTGCTATGGCTACATCCCAAGCCCATATCACTTGTTTCAAGTGTAAGGGTAAGGGGCATCGGATGAGCCAATGCCCATCTTCGAATCTCCTCATAGAGATCGAAGAATTGGGTAGCGGTTCACACGAGGATGACGTCCCTGTAGGCGATGATGTCTACATTGCTGACGAGGGTTTGGCCAAGGAGTGTGATGACTGATAAGTGACGTGACTTAGTTGTTGTATATTAAATCACGCAAATATAAAATTTATAAAACTAGAAAATACGAATTTTTGGATATTTAGAAGTATTTCTAAATAAATATATCAATTATAATTTAATAAAACTTCCAAAAATAGCAGTAATTTCCCAAGTCGATCACAGGGATGTAATATAATATTTTGTAATTATTCAGATTTTTTCTCAATGAATACGATTTTCTATGATTTTTATACTAGAAAATGAAAAGGAAATATATTTAAAATTAACGAAAAAAAGGAAATAAGGGTGCGGACGTCAGGATGACGTCAGCACCCGGCGAACACGAATCGGGCAGAAACAGAGTTCCGCCCGGCGATTCTTACGTAAACGATTACAGACGATTTAATTAATCAAATTAAGATCTATAAAAGCCGGAAGAATCGTAATTGAACGAAGTATAGTTTGGTAAATTAAAATCACACAAAGTATCACTAAATGAAGCGTAAATTAAATTGAAAGTAGGAAAACAGAGTTCCGACATCGCGACGCCGACGCGTCAGCGATGCACCAGAATCCTGAGCATTCGGGAGGATCGTCGTGTAGTGTCCATGGCCTCAAAGGCTCTCCTTGGACAAAGACGACGTGGGCAATCTCTAGATCTTCTCGCGAAGTCTAGAGATTAATGAAATGGGTCGTCGAGTCGTCTCCGGCGGCTGTCACCCGGCGGAGCGGAAAAACGGCGACTTTGCGGCTCTCCGGCGGCTGTCACCCGACGGAGAGGAGCTAGATGGAGGTGGGGCGCGTGTCAGGGAGCTTCATCCTCAGGTCCGCGCAGCAAGAGGAGGCTCTTCATCGCATCTGGTATGCTCTCAAGAGGTGGCGACTTGTCTCCCGGCGGATCGTCCTCTTCCTGACGACGGCTTGTTCGTCGATCAATCGAAGATGATTTACTCGATGGATTCACGATCCTTTTATCGCGAATCGTTCAGCAATTTTAGTAGCAATGCTCCGCGAATCGCGTTGACGAGATTTTTGCTGATGATCTAGCGATTCTCGTTGCTTAATCCTTCACCGGCGATCTGCAAGAAAGTCGCGATAATCAGATAAAAATATATGAATTTTGACTCTAGGAGGATTCGAACCCATGCCGGTCGCTCGCCTGTGAGGAAGGTGTGACGCGGGTTTAGTCCCACATCGGTTGTGCACCGATTTTTCGGGCGAATATATAGTAATGTTAGCTTTGTAAGCAAAGTCTCTTCTCTCGCGTGTACGACCACTCCTTGCCCCACAGCCGGCTGGCCACCGGCAACGTGGAAGGGGGAGTGGCATACACGTGCCCTATCGGTCCCCAAGCCAAGCCGCTCGAGCCCCTGCTCGCGGCTACTCTCCCCCCGACTGCGCTTCCGACCCGCTTGCGGGCCCGGCTGGCCGGCGGGTCCCCCATTTTTGCAATATTTTTATTTTTATTTCTTGTTCTTCATTTATCTCGAAAGTAAGACTGTAAAAATCGTATAAAATCACATAATTACCGCAAGAGAAGGAACTTTGCTTAGAAAGCTAACATTACTATATATTTGCCCAAAAAATCGGCGCACAACCGATGTGGGACTAAACCCGCGTCACACCTTTCTCAGAAGAGGCGAGCGACCGGCGCGGGTTCGAGTCCTTCTAGAGTCAAAAGTCATATATTTTTATCTAATTATCGTGACTTTCCTGCAGATCGCCGGTGAAGGATTAAGCAACGAGAATCGTTGGATCATTAGCGAAAATCTCGTCAACGCGATTCGCGGAGCATTGCTACTAAAATTGCTGAACGATTCGTGATAAAAGGATCGCGAATCCATCGAGTAAATCATCTCTGATTGATCGACGAACAAGCCGTCGTCGGGAAGAAGACGATCCGCCGGGAGACGAGTCGCCACCTCCTGAGAGTGTACCAGATGCGATGAAGAGCCTCCTCTTGCTGCATGGACTTGAGGATGAAGCTCCCTGACACGCGCCCCACCTCCATCCAGCTCCTCTCTGTCGGGTGACAGCCGCCGGAGAGCCGCAAAGTCGTCATTTTTCCGCTCCGCCTGGTGACAGCCGCCGGAGACGACTCGACGACCCATTTCATTAATCTCTAGACTTCGCGAGAAGATCTAGAGATTGCCCACGTCGTCTTTGTCCAAGGAGAGCCTTCAAGGTCGTGGACACTGCACGACGATCCTCCTGAATGCTCAAGATTCCGGTACATTGCCGATGCATCGCCGTCGCGACGCCGGAACTCTGTTTTCCTACTTTTAACTTACTTTACGCTTCATTTAGTGATAATTTTTGTATTTTTAATTTACCAAAATATACTTTGTTCTATTACGATTCTTCCGGCTTTTATAGATCTTAATTTGATTAATTAAATCATCTGTAATTGCTTACGTAAGAATCGCCGAGCAGAACTCTGTTTCTTCCCGATTCGCATTCGCCGGGCACTGATGTCATCCTGACGTCCGCACCCTTGTTTTCCTTTTTCGTGAATTTTAAATATATTTCCTTTTCATTTCCTAGTATAAAATTTGTAGAAAATCGTATTCATTGAGAATTTTTTTGAATAATTACCATATATTGTATTACATCCCTATGATCGACCTGGAAAATTATCGCTATTTTTGGAAGTTTTATTGAATTATAATTGATATACTTGTTCAGAAATACTTCTAAATATCTGAAAAGTCGTATTTTCTAGTTTTATAAATTTTAGATTTGCGTGATTTAAAATACAACGACTGAGTCACGTCAATGACACTCCTGATTTGATTGGCTACATCCAGATCCGGCCAACCACCATACCAGCAGCCAAGGCTGCCTCTCTCATTGCCTCATCGATGAGCACTTCATCGAGGGAACTGGTCAGCATCGCTGTCTAGCGTCCATCTCGAGACGTGGTTCCTACACCACAGCCAGACACCATGGCAGCTAGAGAGAACACCCCAACACCGAGGATGACTATGCCCACATCTTCGCCTATGACAGACGATTCCCTTCGCACGTCGATCTTCTACACCTATGTGAAGATCAACAGACACGCGTGCAAGGTGATCGTGGACAGCGGTAGTTGCGTCAATGTCGTGTCTGACCAGGTCTTGTAGAGGGCAGGGCTGAGTACTATCAGCCATCCAGCCCCTTACGACGTATCGTGGATAGACGCCACCGCACTACCCATTCATCGACAGTGCCAGGTGCCACTTAGGGTGAGCACCTATGATGAGCACATCTTGTGTGATGTCCTTCCGATGAAAATCGGCGGCATCATACTTGGATGGCCCTGGTTGTTTGACTATGACGTCCAACTCATGGGAAGAGCAAACACTTGCTCTTTCATGTATCGAGATCGCCGACTTGTTTGGTATCCGCATACCAACAAGCCTGCGCCGAAGCGTGACCCTAAGTCACGTATTGGGTTAATCGTGATGAGGGGACCTACCTTTCAGCACGAGATCACGTCGGACATAGATAGATCCCCGACGTGCTTCACTCTCGCTTTGGATACGCGAGATGACACGACCCTTACCCCGCCTTTTCTAGAAGTCGAGGGTATATTATCGGAGTACGCTGACGTACTCCTAGAGGAGCTTCCTAGAGAGCTGCCTCTATTGAGGCACATTCAACATGCTATCAACTTGGTTCCCGGAGCATCACTCCCGAACCTGCCGCACTATCGCATAGAGCCGGCCAAGTACGAGGAGCTTAGCCGACAGGTACAGGAGCTTTTGGACAAGGGACTCATCCAGCCAAGCCTTAGTCCCTACGTCATGCTTGCATTACTAGCACCGAAGAAGGATGACACTTGGCGCATGTGCTGCGATAGTAGCGCGATCAATAGGATAACGGTTAAATACTGTTTTCCGATCCCGCGATTACAGGACTTATTCGACATGATGACAGGAGCCACTATCTTTTGAAAGATAGATCTACGTAGTGGTTATCATCAGGTTAGGATACATCTAGGGGACGAGCGGAAAACTGCCTTCAAGGTCAAGGAGGGCCTGTACGAGTGGAGGGTCATGCCATTTGGCCTCTTCAACATGCCCAGTACATTCCAGAGGCTAATGAACAAGGTTTTATGCCCTTTCATTGACAAGTTCGTCGTAGTATACTTTGACGACATCTTGGTCTACAGCGGTACTCGAGACTCCCACTTTCAGCACTTACGACAGGTGTTTGAGGCACTTCGACAGGAGAAGCTTTATGCCCATCCTAAGAAGTGTAGTTTCTTCACTTTCGAGGTTATGTTCCTCAGTTTTGTCGTCTCTAAGCGAGGAGATTTGATGCAGGACGGGGCGAAAACCCTTGTACCTGATCAATAAAATTCAAGACTTAAGATGGGGCAGTCAGACCGATCCGATAAGAATGTATCGACCCTAGACTCTAGGTCTGACCACCTAACCTAAGTACAGGCAGGCGTACCAATATGCACTATCAACTTAGGACAACCCGGGGAAACACTCGACGATGGTAAGTGTGAGACCCTCTCGGTCCATGTCTAGCCAGACGGCGGAACGGTCGTTGTGAAGTAGCCTAGGGCTGCAGCTCACGAACGGTGACGAGTCTAACGTAGTGTCAGAAGTCACGATCCTATAACCCATCCTATCTTGTCTACATTCTCCTGATGGCGGTGGAAATGAGCCAAGAAAACCCTTTGAAAGATAATTAAACTTAAGTAAGAAGGGGTACGGAGCTAACTTTTGGGGCTGCGTAGCCCGGCGGGTCGTGATGGAGCAGAGACTCGACATAAGCAGAGACGTCCGGTGAAGAGCGATGCTCAATGTTGACGGTCAGTTCTGGTCGAGAGTCGCAGTAGTCATCATTGTAAGGCGTGGCGCGGTCAGCGTGGGCGTGGGCGTGGGCCCGCTGGTGGGCTGAAGGGCACACTAGCAGGCGCATGCGGCAAGCCGCGCGGCATGCCTCGGGGCACGCGGGCGGTGGCGCTGGGTGGGCACGCAGGCCGTAGGAGCCGGCACGTGGGGCGCACACGGCGGCGGTGCTTCGGCGGGAATGCCGAGCATCGGCGATTGGGCGGAAGCCCAACCATCGTCGGAAGGATCAGCCTTCTCTAGCGGTGCCGGGAAGTGGAGCAGAGGAAGGAGACGATCCCGACCGATGATACTAGGGAGGGTTGAGCCCTCTTTGTCTAGGGGGCACCAGAAATGGCGCAACGGCGGCAGATCATCGAGAAACTCTGGTGGGGGCCTGTGAGGAGCTTGGACTCAATCTAACTTGTCGGCATGGCTGCAGGGTCGACGTTGGCGGCAAGAAGGAATTCGTCGGTGAACGGCCAATGATAAGTTTTTATTATCATGAGTTAATAATTAGTAAATAATATAGTTTTAGCCTTAACTCATGATAAATAGACTTATATTTGTGTTAAAGTGTGAAAAGTGGTTTTCAGTTGATTAACGTAAATTTTTGGGTAATTATGTGATTTTATAAAAAATTATATGATTTTTACAGTCTTACTTTTGAGATAAATGAAGAAAAAGAAATAAAAATAAAAATATTGTAAAATGGGGAGACCAGCCGGCCAGCCAGGCCCGCAAGCGGGTCGGAAGCGCAGTCGGGGAGGAGCCGCGAGCAGGGGCTCGAGTGGCTTGGACCGATAGGGCATGTGTGTGCCACTCCCCTTCCACGTCACTGGTGGCCAGTTGGCTGTGGGGCAAGGAGTGGTCGTACATGCGTAAGAAAGGGGCTTGCCTAGAGATCTAACATTACTATATATTTGTCCAAAAATTCGGTGCACAACCGATGTGGGACTAAACCTGCGTCACCTTCTCCAAAAGGGGCGGGCAACCGGCACGGGTTCGAATCCTCCCAGAGCCAAAATTCATATTTTTATCTGATTATCGTGACTTTCCTCCGAATCGCCAGTGAAGGATTAAGCAACCAAAATCGTTGGATCATTGGCAAAAATCTTGTCAACGCGATTCGTGTAGCATTGTTACTAAAATTGTTGAATGATTCACAATAAAAGGATCGCGAATCCATCAAGTAAAGCATCTCCGATTGATCGACGAACAAGCCGTCGTCTGGAAGAGGACGATCTATCGAGAGATGAGTCACTACCTCTTGAGAGCATACCAGATTCGCGTTCGCCCGATTCACGTTCGCCAGACGCTGACGTCATCTTGACGGCCTGCACACTTATTTCCCTTTTTCGTGAATTTTAAATATATTTCCTTTTTATTTAATAGTATAAAATTCATATAAAATAGTATTCTTTGAAGAAAATTCTGAATAATTACCATATATTATATTACATCCCTATGATTGAAATTATCGCTATTTTTGGAAGTTTTATTAAATTATAATTGATATATTTGTTCAAAAATACTTCTAAATATCTAAAAATTCATATTTTCTAGTTTTATAAATTTTAGATTTACGTGATTTAATATACAACGATTATGTCACGTCAATAGGTCAAACTAAAAATAATCCTATGGCCATGAAAAATTATTATATCCCTGATTCATTTCAAAGAGCATCCAATATTAGAGTCCTATTAGCACCCATTGTTAAATTCGAAATAAATCCAGAAATTTTTCAAATGCTCTCTAATTTTCATGGATTGACTTTAGAGGAACCTCATCAGCACTTAGAAAATTTTCATATGGTCTGTGATTTAGTTAATCTCTCTCAAGTTACACTGGAAATTATTAAGATGAAATTATTTCCTCATACACTTAGGACAAAGCTAGTCATTGGCTATCCACATTAGATAGAGAATTAATTAGCTGGAAAGACATAGAACAGGCCTTTCTTCGAAAATTTTATCCTTTAGGAAAAACTCAAAATATGAGAAAACATATATGGAGTTTTTCTCAAAGACTAGGAGAAACTTTACATGAGACATGGGAAACATTCAAAGATTTACTTAGAAAGTGTCCTCATCATGCTATACCCAAGTGGTAGCTCAATAGAATCTTTTATGATGGATTATTAGAACAACATAGAAATATGATTGATTCTATATGTGGAGGAACTTTTATGGAGGAAACCCCTGATGAGATTTATAGTCTTTATGAGAATTTAAGTGAAAATTTTAGAGATCAAGCCTCTTTTGAATTTATGACAGGGATAAGAAGAGAGAAATTTATGAATTGCATCATGATGATGATTCTAAATTTAGAAATGAGGTTAATCAGATTAATCAAAGATTAAAAAAACTTGATTTACTTATTGACAATATTAAAAAGCCTCTTAACCCTCAAATTAATTCAAACAATACATGTCCTATGTATGGTGAAAATAATCATTTCGAATTTCAATATCATCATAGGTAAGAACAAGTGCAGGTACCCCACGATTTTAGTAAAAATAGAGAATATTTTTCAAATTCTTATAATCCTAATTGGGGGAATAATTTTTCGTAGAGAAACCCAAATAATATTTAAAATCTAGAAGCAATTAGATCCAATTCAAACTTTGAATTTCGTCCAAAACAGGAATATAGATTTCAGAAAAATCAGTCCTCTCAAATCCAACTTGATGCTATGGAAATGATGCAGTAAATGAGCCAAATGATGCAACAAACTATGAATCAAATGATGCTGCACCAGAAACAAATTATAGAGGCTCTTGGGAATAAGAGAGAAGAGGGACAGCTACCTAGTCAGCCCATAGAAAATCCAGGGAACCGCCCAACAATAGGATTTCAGCAAGGGGAGTCTAGTAGCATGAATCTAGGAAAAAACCCATGAAATGAAAATATTAGGATAGTGAATACATTGAGTGAGAATATTTTATATGATCCTTATTTCTAACTATTAGAAGAAATCGATGATCCATTAGAAGTAAATGAGAATATTAACCCTGAAAATATAGTAGTAGAAAATTTGAATAAAGTCATTTATTGCTCACAATTGATGAATGAATATAGTGAGGATGATGAGGAGAAAGAGCCCTTAGATGAAGAAACAGAAGCTGATCATGGAAAAATCATCCAAATTTTAGTAAAAGGGAGTAAAGACAGAAGTGAAGAAAAATATATTTCAAGTGAGGAAAAATCAGTTGATTTGAGATATGTAGGAGACGAAATTAATAAATCTAATCATAATTTTGCAGCCATGGATGTTGATAGTGAGGATGATGATGTATATCATATACCGAAATTAAAAGATAGCTCTTGGGAAGATGAAGAATTTGATGAGTTGAGAAACGAAAAGCTAGAAAAAGAGTTGATTCAACTAATGGAGAGAAACGAAAATAATGAATATGAATATAGAGATAATTTTCGAGGAGAAAATTTGAATTTTACTAGATTCATTAGCTCTGAGATTAAAGAAGACAATCCTTCCATCCTTCAAAACCCACAGCCCATTAGAATTACTTCTAAACTTGAAATATTTCACTCCTCACAAATTGAACAAATATGTATGGAAGATAAAATGGAGCAGGGGAAGATTATACAGATAAAAGAAGACATTAAGAAATGGATGAGTGGAAGAATTAGAGATATCAATTTAGATGAAAAAATTCTAAATTGGGTAAGAGCTAATTTAAAAATTATATGGCTTGATCACATTTTATGGTCTATTAATAGAAAGTATTTATTAATGAATGAGAGCTGTACAAAACAAGATAGAAATGAGGAAAGATTCTTTTCGGGAACCTCTGGCGGGGGCTTGTGAGGAGCTTGGACTGGATCTGACTCATCGGCACGGCTGTAGGGTCTCTCTTGACGTCGGCAGCAGGTAGGCATTCGTCGGCGAACGGCCAGCAACTAGGCGGAGCGGCGGATGGCAGCTTCGGTGAGTTCCGAAGGAAGAGGTGGCAGTCGAACTAGGAGTCAAGAGACTCCGGCAGAGTGCTCGGCGACGGCTCGTAGGGAGGCGAAGCAAGCCTCTTTCGTCACGACGACGTGATGGGGTTCCAACAGAGGCGGCGGCGGTTGCATGGCAACCACGACCGTTTCGTCTAGTGACGGCGGCGATCTCAAGGGCGGCAATGAAGATGTCCGGCGGCGGCAGTTGGTCTTAGGCAGCGACAGGACTTCTCAGGCAGCAGCGTCACGATGAACGAAGTCCTCAAAGGGTATCGACGGCCTTCCTCTCCCTCCTTCCCTCCCTACCCTAGGTCACGAAGAAGGTAACTCACAAACGATAATCTCTCACAAAATTCGGCACTTCAGGTTGAGGGGGGGTCCTACCTCCCCTTATATAGGGCCCACAAGTGGGCTAAGGGGAGGTGGGCCCACTTGAGGCCCTCAAGCCCATAGGCCACAAAAAGGCTACAAAAGGGGCTTATTGGGCCTCTAAAAGAGAGACCCAATAAGTTCCCCTAAAAGGAGAAAGAGGAGGGCCCTCGTACGGTGCTTAAGTGGGCCTCAAATGAAGACCCAAATAAGCCCCAAAAGAGGCCCAAAAGGAAAGAAACATAGGTGCCCCCCCTTAGGGTTTTAATTGGGCCTCAAGAGAGACAATAAAACCCTAAAGAAAGGGAGACACAAACAACAACACACACACATAGAATTGGGCCCGCTAACACACAAACGCGAGGCCCAACAAGTCAAAGTGAAAATACAAAGAAAGATAAGGGTGAGCTCAATCTCGTCGTCGTCGCGGAGGTGGAATGTCGTTGTCCCGAAGGGCTAGGCCGTGTAGCGAAAGCTAGGCTCCTTTTCTGATGGAGACGGGTCTCCTAAGCTTCGTGCGTCAATCGGGCTGAACTTAGACTACCCGTGTCTCCTGAGCTGATGGAGACGGGTCCCGCTCGCCATCACAAGTCATCTTCTTCTCTCTGATGCTCTAGGAAGAGGTGGAACCAGGTGACGAAAGAAGAGTAGATGCAGATGAATTCACTTTTCTCCCAAATGGAAGTAATGAAAGAACCTCCCAAGTCTAGTAGTGGCAATGGCTATGTAGAAAAGATGGGACTGGACTCCACTAGCATCATTGCAGTAGTAGAATCGAGAGAGATTATCGACTACAACAATCAGCAGAATAGGCTGGCTGATATTTGATCTAGATCTTGAGAATTGTTCAATAATCCGAGCCTTAGTTGGTGCTACCCTAGCTTAATCAATATTGTCAAATGTGGCAGAGTTGACAAACTGTTCGCAGCATTGGACAGACGTTAAGGTATCTTCTCCACATTCCTAATGGTGACATTTCACTCCTCTCAAAGAATCTACTCTGCAGTTTGAATCTAAGAATTTAATTGGATGTGGGTGAAAGTAATTGTCTAGATGAGTTGTAGCTTTTCATTATTTAAGAAAAGAGTTGTAAATTTTTTCATTAATTGATCTCATAATCTTGATAGAGTTTGATCTAAAAAGTATTGGACAAAGAAACATCTTGCTATGAACAAGTAATAGTCAGACTATGAGCCTGTATTTTGTGTCATATCATTTGAAACAATCTTTGGTCTTGAATGGAAATTTTGATTCTGTATTAAAAAATTGGGAATTTGGCACCTTCTTGCCTCTTTTAGATAGTTTATCCTATAAAACCAGACTATGCTCATAGTTCTTGAATAAATTTCACTAATCAAGAATTTACTATGTTCACTAACCTTGATCGGTTGGGGTATGCTCGTAATGATTTGAAGGATACTCATAATAAAATTTCTAAACTTTGAAGGTTTTGAAACCTCGTCAGCTATCTATATCCAAGAAAACTCAGATGTGCTCTTTTATCAATCTGACGTGGAGTGACTCAAATACATTGTACGGTACATGTACTCAAGTCTAAATGGGATCAAAATTTGTCATGGTGGAGTAGATTAACAAGACAACCAGACAATATTCACAAAGTAGAATCAAGGTAGCATTTAAGAAATGTTATAATGATGAATTGATCTTCATGGCATCTAGATAGTGGCATGAAATCAAAAATATCATAAATAATATCATATGAGAGTATTCTTAATTATTTTAATTGCATCAGCATTGCAATAATGTTATGTAACTTCTATAAAAAATGATTGATATACGGATTAATCAGTTAGTCATTTCATGAAAATAAGTCAATTGGGTCACGAAATAATTATCCTCTTTGGGAAATCGCAACAGGCTTTGGCAGATAATAATCGGATACTGATAAGTCTTCATTATCATGAGTTAATAATTAGTAAATAATATAGTTTTAGCCTTAACTCATGATAAATAGACTTATATTTGTGTTAAAGTGTGAAAAGTGGTTTTCAGTTGATTAATGTGATTTTTTGGGTAATTATGTGATTTTATACGAATTTATATGATTTTTACAATCTTACTTTTGAGATAAATGAAGAAAAAGAAATAAAACTAAAATATTGCAAAATGGGGGGACCTGCCGGCCAGCCAGGCCCGCAAGTGGGTTGGAAGCTCAGTCGGGGAGTAGCTGCGAGCAGGGGCTCAAGCGGCTTGGACCGATAGGGGCACGTGTGCGCCACTCCCCTTCCACGTCACTGGTGGCCAGCCGGCTGTGGGGCAAGGAGTGGTCGTACACGCAAGAGAAGGAATTTTGCTTAGAAAGCTAACATTACTATATATTCGCCCAAAAAATCGGCGCACAACCGATGTGGGACTAAACCCGCGTCACACCTTCCTCAGAAGAGGCGGGCGACCGGCACGGGTTCGAGTCCTTCGAGAGTCAAAAGTCATATATTTTTATCTGATTATCGTGACTTTCCTGCAGATCGCCGGTGAAGGATTAAGCAACGAGAATCGTTGGATCATCGGCGAAAATCTCGTCAACGCGATTCGCGGAGCATTGCTACTAAAATTTCTAAACGATTCGTGATAAAAGGATCGCGAATCCATCGAGTAAATCATCTCTGATTGATCAACGAACAAGCCGTCGTCGGGAAGAGGACGATCCGCCGGGAGACGAGTCGCCACCTCCTGAGAGCGTACTAGATGCGATGAAGAGCCTCCTCTTGCTGTGCGAACCTGAGGATGAAGCTCCCTGACACACGCCCCACCTCCATCCAGCTCCTCTCTGTCGGGTGACAGCCGCCGGAGAGCTGCAAAGTCGTCGTTTTTCCGCTCCGCCGGGTGACGGCAGCCGGAGACGACTCGACGACCCATTTCATTAATCTCTAGACTTCGCGAGAAGATCTAGAGATTGCCCACGTTGTCTTTGTCCAAGGAGAGCCTTCGAGGCCGTGGACACTGCACGACGATCCTCTTGAATGCTCAGGATTCCAGTGCATCGCCGACGCATTGCCGTCGCGACACCAGAACTCTGTTTTCCTGCTTTCAACTTACTTTACGCTTCATTTAGTTATAGTTTTTGTGATTTTCATTTACCAAAATATACTTTGTTCTATTACGATTCTTCCGGCTTTTACAGATCTTAATTTGATTAATTAAATCGTCTGTAATCGCTTATGTAAGAATTGTCAGGCGGAACTCTGTTTTTGCCCGATTCGCGTTCGCCGGGCACTAACGTCATCTTGACGTCCGCACCCTTATTTCTCTTTTTCGTGAATTTTAAATATATTTCCTTTTCATTTCCTAGTATACAATTCATAGAAAATCGTATTCATTGAGAAAAATTATGAATAATTACCATATATTATATTACATTGTTGTGATTGACCTGGAAAATTACCGCTATTTTTGGAAGTTTTATTGAATTATAATTGATATATTTGTTCAGAAAATACTTCTAAATATCCGAAAATTCGTATTTTCTAGTTTTATAAATTTTAGATTTGCGTGATTTAATATACAACGACTGAGTCACGTTAGATACCATTAGCGACAAAGATCAGATTGGCTTTCAGTTCCAAATGATCACTCTTCTACTAATCCAGTACATGGTAGGTCATTTTGCAAACATGGCCTTAAACAAAAAGTAGAAATCTTAGTCTCTTTTAACCCCCTCATCCTATGATGTCCTATGTATGATTATTTGGGTTATTTTGGCTGATCCATATTTTGGTTTATAGTATAGTTCGCTAGAAGATGATAAGTATTGGGCTGGAGTGGATTAACAACACAGCTAAACAATACTCACAAAGTAGAATCAAGCTAGCATTTAAGAAATGTTATAATGATGAATTGGTCTTCATGAGATATAGCTAGTGGCATGAAATCTAAAAAAATCACAAAGAATATCATTTGAGAGTAAATCTCATTTATTTCCTTAATTATAATTTCAATAATGTTAGATATCTTCTATGCGATATGATTGATATATAGATTAATCAATGAATCTTTTCACGAAATTTACTCTATTGGGTTACAAAATAATTATCCATTTTGGTTAATCGCCATAAGCGTAGGCAAATAACTAATGGGATAACACTAAAGACAAAGATCACACTAGTTTCAGTGGCAAATGAAAGTATTTTTTCGGATTTAATTGTCTTATTGTTTATATAAATTTGGATAGTCGTCTTCTTCATTTTAAGACCTAAAAACATATTTATATAACATATATACCTATCTCGAAAGGTTTGGAGCTTAATTTGTGGATTAATTTATTCAACATATTTTATATAGTTTTAACTAAGCTTTATGCGGTCAGTTTATTAAAATAGAAATCAATATAAAAAATAATGCTAGCATGATTACTAGAGCGGTTTGACAATATTAATAATTATTCAATCCGAAATCATTTATAAGTATATAGCATAATCTTTGGAGTATTGATGTAGTAAATTTAGATTGTCAACAAAAGTCCATCTAATTTTATGCAAATATATTGCTCACACTTGTCCTCTTAATTTTAATTAATATATTTTGCAACACATTCAGAATTTAATTATCATTAAATAAATTAATACAGCTAGTGTTGCCTAAAGTCTAGGAGTGATTGTTGATAAATTATGTTATTCTTATTTTAATGTATCCATTTATACACTTGTTAGATAACTATTTTAAAAGTTAGAGAACTATATTGAAAAAAATATATGCCACAATAGTGAGAACTATTTTAAAAGTTTAATGACGTTCTACACTTGATTATATCTATTCACCTCTCATACAGATGCCACTTAGTCTACCTTGAGCTTGTCAGAACTCTAGTAGCAAAGCTGACAAGAGTGTGCAAATGACTATCACAAATGTAGGAAAGTTCATATAATCAGATTACCAAAGCTTTCGCTGTGTTCATTCCCTCTCTTTTCCTTCACCTTTTTCCTTACACTTTTTAACCTTCAAAGAGAAAAAGAGGACATGGTAGAGGGTTATTAACATACTTCTGGTTATTTGAGTGACTTGTTCCCCTTATTTCCTCCCTTTTAATGAAGATTGTATGTTTTGTGACTGGGTGCATCTATTTCTTACGCTTGATGGGCAACTTAAGGAGCATAATGGGCTGAGAAAAATATGAAATTGAATGTTTTCGCCTAAAATTTAAACGAAGAATCACCCGTCTTGATGGCCCCTTCGAAAATTTAAACAAAGAATCACCCGCCTTGATGGTCTCTTTGAAAATTTAAACGAGGAATCACAATTCTTGATGACCGGTTCCAAAATTTTAAATAAAGAATCACCCATGGTGATGATTCGTTCCAAAATTCAAACCAAGAATCACTTATCTTGATGATTCGTTCCAAAATTCAAATGAAAAAACACCCATCTCTTTGCAACAAGCCATCAGGAGCCTGAAATTGATGAAGCCAATACCCGATCTCCCATGACTAGATATTCTGATTATTCAGCCAGCTATATAGCCCTCTACGAACGTAAACGATGAGGATACCGAACGACGGCTCATCTTTCATGGCAGGTGATTTGTCCCTCGCAACGAACGCGGGCCGAGGGATGAGCTCGTGCCGTCTCAAGGGTACTCCACTCGTCGGGAATATTCTCGATGGGAGAAGGAGAAGCCCGGAAAAGAACGTTTCAAAATATCAGCAGCGAGGACCGTAAACGGAAAGAAATCTTCTGCGCTAGCAATAAACCAGGAGAGGGCGGGCAACTGTTTACAGAAAGAGATCGAGACGCGCAGACAGCAGATTCAATCTCATTGATTCGGGAGGATGCACGCTGCAACGAGACGCCTATAAATAACGGCGCACTCTTCGTCTCTCTTCATCGCCCACCTTTCAGCCCTTCTTCTACGTCCGGTCAACAATGGGCTGAGAGAATCCTGCAGTTCGTTCCACCGTCGCGAGTCCATCAACGGAGCTAACTGGTCACTTTCTGCCGATTCCAGCGATGGGACTAGATAAGGCGACATTGAGGCAAGGGAAGCCCGTCAGTGAGACGGGCGAAGAGTCGCCGCCGTCTCTCAGGGTGTAGTGCTTCCGGCGGAGTTGACGAGGCCCAGCGACGGGGTGCCGTAAAGGGCGGAGAGCTCGCATACCTTCTTGAAGATTTACTTTCGCCTCTTGATTGGTAGAACAAGTCTTCTGCACTGGTCATGTTGCTATGCGAATGCAGAGTCTGGTTGATCAAGAGCCGAAAGGGTATCCTAAACAATGTGTGCGAGCTCCCCGCTCTTTACGGCACCCACTGGCCGGACCTCGCCAACTTTACCGGGCCGAGGACTACACCGGTGAGGCGTCCATGGTGGGCGTATCCTCAGTGGCTACACCTTTCACTTCCACGGGCTGCAGCTCTATAAATGTCATAGGATGGATGTGTATTCATGTGTAATAAATTTCTGCGTTTAAAGTCTTAGTCACGATCTTTCCCTTCAGTTCTCTCTCTCTCGCTCCCCCAGTCCTCTCTCTCCTGTCGCAAGTTCTCACTCTTCCTCTCGCTCCGTCCGTCTGGTTCTCTCTCCTCTCTTTCATTCGCTCTCTCTAGTTATCTCTCTCATCTAGTAGAGATCCTGAAATAGATGTTGGGACTCATGTCATGGGAATCTGGTAAGCAAGTCTACTTGGTTCTCTCTGGCTGGCCTTGAGCGTTAGTCAACATCTACCGAACTTTTCTCTAACACGGAAACGCACTAAGACGTCAACACGGTAGGAAAACACACTTAAGCCTGAACCTCTCTCCCGCACTAAGGCTCTACTCTTATAAGAGGATGCCCTTAATATCTAAATAACTTCATAACCAGAATGGGTAATTAGGGGGTGGTGTTCACCACTCTAGAAGTTAGTGAAACTGACCCTTTAACTGCCAACCATGAAGAGGCATACTAGATTGCTTTTCAGCCTTGGCAGTGTATTTTATATGCATCATTAGGACGATTCTGCTCCTTGCCTTCATCATTAGCCTGATAGGACTTCAACCCTGAAACATGGAAAATTAGGTGTCCAACTGATCTCCACGATACATTGATGCAGCAGGGCAACCTGCCTGCTTACACCGCAACCTCAAAAGATCAATCACGTCATGGTACCAGACCTTCATGAGGCTGTCTCTGATTGATATTTTTTAAGAACTTATCTTGATCTGTAGAAAATTACAATCGTCATCGTCAAAATTCGTAATTCTCTACATTATGCACGCTAGGGGCACCAACACCTTGCACACTTGGCGCACCTACACAAACAGTTTTATGTCACCATAGCTTATTTCGGTACCACTGGCAAAATTAGTGGCTGGTATCCCATTGGTAACCAAAACAAACACTGACCCAATTACCAAACTATAGTGAAGCTTGTATGAAACTAGAAAAATCAAGAAATTATTTGATTCTCTAGGTTAAGCAAAACAAAAATATCTCAATTATTCCTCCAACATACCGTGTATCTGCTCCTTTTAGTCAACCATCTGTGAATTAAAGCTTGTTAACGACTTCATTTGGATGAGCAAATGTGTGGAACGAAGTGTTCATAAATAGCAGGTAAACCTTACATTATGTGTGCTATGCACGCACACACCTCATGCACTTTGGTGCACCTACGGGTGCACTGTCCAAAAAGACCATTTCAAAATTATCTCTCATGCTTGTAATTTATCTACTCCATCTGATCATCCATCCATAGATGAAACATTTTGATAAAATCTTCAGTTGAGTGCCAATTGTGTGAAAAGAGCTATCCTAAAATGACAATAAAACTAAATTTCCCCATCCTAATAATGTTGTCTAAGGGGCTCAATAGCTTCATCAAGTTCTCCATAAGAGGCATGCCACTTCTATCAAGTTGAGCATTTGTGTTTGCATAGATAAAATATTTCGGAAGAATCCTTTCACCACAAAAATATAACTGAAGAATCATCCAAAGATGAAAATTAAAGCATGTCTCTATTGCTGATGATGTCCTGAAGTGGTCCTCACAACCACATAAAATTCACAATGAAGAAGTGTGCCACTTCTTCTATCCAATTGTCCATTTTTAATTGTAAAAATATAGTATATTTTGAAAACAAAACTATTGACAACAAAAATTTAAACCCTTCGTGTTTGCCACTTCTATCAAGTTGACCATTCATGATCAGACAAATACAAAACATTTTGAGAAGAAACCTTTTACCACAAAGATAAAAATTAAGAATCATCCGAAAATTAGAAGCAAAGCAAATGTTTCCACCACTGATGGTGTCCTCAAGTGAGCCTCAAAGCCCCACAAACTTTCCCATGAATAGGTGTGCAACTTGACAATACTCTTACCTTATGTGATAAACAAGGTAAAATTTATATAATAGCAACATAAATTTATGATTAAATACATATACTTGAATTAGAATACATTTACATGTGCTGAAATACTTTATAGAAAATTCATGATTAAATTTACACTTTGGATGATTTATTTTCATGAATTTGCTTTGATCTTTTAATATTATGTGATAATACAATCATCTAAGGTGTATATACGCTTAAAATGTATCTTATATTTTCCAAGAATATGTTCATGAAGTAAGATTTTGAATTAAAAAAAATTCTGATTGCTTAAAGTTTTTTTGGAATTCTGTGTAAGCATGTGGCAAGTAAGCCAATACTTATTGTTTAGGCTCCAAGCCTTCATAGCTATGTCAACATAAAAATGAGTTTTAATCCTTAGTTTTGATAGGCCAGAAAGCTCATGTGTCAACCAATAAAACCACATCAGCTAGGCCAAAATAGTAAGTTTATGAAAAATGAAAAGGAATAACAATCAATTTCTACATTCAAATCCTTCTCATATTAGATCTGATTTTTTAAGTTATTTATAAGAGAGATTTAAGGTAACAGATTCATGCCTTCTTAACCAAAATAAAAAGGAAAGATTATGAGAAAGGGGTATCTCTCTTTATTGGTCATAACTTCTCTCTTCTCTTGGGGAGAGGAAGACCTCATTCTTCACTATAGTGACAAAGGAATATGGTCTATCCTATCTTCTCAAGTAAAATTTCATGATTTTAATTTCTTGATTTTTTTAGAACTTCCTTTGATCCTAATTATTTTTAAGTAATTTTAATTGATTTCATGTCTAGATTTATATTCCAAAGTTCTCTATGTGTGATGATAGAGTTGCAATGGCTTTCTTGACATTTTCTCCATTATTTTACTGTAATTTTTTAATTTTCATATTTCATTTCAAGTTGTTGATTCATTCTATCATATGAGTTGACACACATGGTAGGATCAATCATAGTTTTGTTAAGAATATTTTTTTATACCTTTTTAGATTTCACTACATTATAGACCATTTACCTGATCATTTTAAGTTGTTGATTCATTCCTTCGTTTCTTTGATTTTTCTAAGTTGTTTTTCATAAGCTCTTGAATTAACACGAATTAGAGGTGATCTAGAGGCAATCAAAATATCATAAAAGAACATCTCTTCTATTTCACAAGTTGACTTAGATAAGGGAATACAACTATGACAATTTGGTGATAAGAGAAATCATTAATTTTCTATCTTTAGTTTTTAGTTGTTTAAGTTTTGGTAAGGGTTGAGAATCAATTAAAGATATATTTGTCTTTCATCTCTATGAAGATGACTAGAATTCACTAAATTTATTATTTAAAACATCTTTAAAATTCAGTTTATTAATCATTAAATTATGGTTATCTTATAACTCAGTGACCATCTATACAGCTCAACTTTTCATGGCAGATGATTTGCCTCCTACTATGAATGTGGAGTAAACTGTGTTCTCTTGTCATTGCAATGTCGTTCCTCATTAGAGACGTTCTTGAGAGAGGAGAAACTTGAAAGAGGACATTTCAAAGATATCAGCAGTAAGGACCATAAATGGAAAGAAATCTTTTGTGCAAGTGATAAACTGGGAGATTGTACCTATTTACAGAAAGATATCGAGATGTGCAGGCAGAAGATTCAACCTCATTAATTGTGGGAGGGTGCCACCTGCAAGGAACATCCTATAAATGGTCGTACTTTTTATCTCTTTTTGTCACAAGTCATCCTTCAGCCCTTCTTCTAAGTTCAGCCTACAATGGATTGGGAAAGTGATGAAGCCCTCAACTTCACCCGCACGACCCTAGTACTCAGCGGAAGCTCCGTAACATTAGGATGCATCAACTGAATGAACGTCACTTATATAATAAAGAAGTAGTAATAGAGTCTTACCCGCTCTAAGGGTGTTTGAGAGAGTCTGACCCACTCTAAGGGTAGCCATCCCCTCTCATCCCTTTCCCTCACGTCGTATCTCTCTTTCCCTGTGATCTCCTTTTGTCCTCTAGTGTGTCTTTTGCATTTCCGCTCACCATGCTCCCGTGTCACCATCTCATCCTCTCTTGTTGACGTGGGGGTTCCACCAGAACGTCATATGGATCGTTTCCCTGTTGCGAGTCCTGTCATCAACAACGCTAACCGGTCGCTTTTGTCTACTCAACTGATGGGACTCGAATGAGGAGACAATCAGAAAATGGATGCCTGTCAGTCAGGTGGACAGAGCGCTGGGTGGAGTGCTTCCGACGGTGGAGATGACGTGGCCCAGTGACGGGGTGCCAGATGGTAGAGAACTCGCACACCTTCTTGAAGGTGCCCTTTTGCCTGTTGATGCGGATAATATGTCGTTGCAGAGTCTGCTTCATCAAGGCCAAAAAGGTCTCCTAAAAAATATGGGCGAGGTCCCTGCTCTTTATGGCACCCACTAACTAGACCTCGCAACTTTGAAAAAAAAGAGTTCAATGGTGGTCATCTTCTCTATGACTATCTCTTTCACTTCGATTACCTGTAAGTCTACAACTAAATTAGGATGGATGTACATTGATGTGCAATAAATTTCTTCATTTAAAATCTAAGTTAGTCATTGATAAGTCTTCATTATCATGAGTTAATAATTAGTAAATAATATAGTTTTAGTCTTAATTCATGATAAATAGACTTATCTTTGTGTTAAAGTGTAAAAAGTGATTTTTAGTTGATTAATGTGAATTTTTGGCTAATTATGTGATTTTATAAAAATTTATATGATTTTTATAGTCTTACTTTTGAGATAAATGAAGAAAAAAAAAACCCAAAATGGGGGGTAATCGTCAGCTAGCCGGACCCGCAAGCGGGTTGGAAGCATAGTCATAGAGGAGCCGCGAGCAGGGGCTCAAGCAACTTGGACCAATAAGGGCACATGTATGCCACTCCTCTTCCACGTCACCGATGGCTAACTAGTAAGGAGTGGTCGTACACGTGAGAGAAAGGGACTTGATTGCAAATGTAATATTACTATATATTTATCTGAAACTTTAGCGCACAAGCGATGTGAGACTAAACCCACGTCACACCTTCCTTAGAAAGGCTTTGATGATTTTAATACCTAAAATACCCCTTATTTATAATAGAGATATACCATGATGATGTCATTTGATAAGGGCATTAGAGTACTTATGTCAATCTCTCTCATATAGGCGGGCAACTGGCATAGGTTTGAATCCTCCTAGAGCAAAAACTCATATTTTTTATTTAATTATCACGACTTTCCTGTAGGTCACCGATGAAGGATTAAGCCACTATAATCACTAGATCATCAGCGAAAATCTCGTCAATGCGATTTGCCGAGCATTGTTACTAAAGTTGCTGAACGATTTGCAATAAAAAGATCGTGAATCCATCAAGTAAAACATTTCCAATTGATCAACGAACAAGTCGTCGTCGAGAAGAGGATGATCCGTCGGGAGACAAGTCGCCACCTCTTAAGAGCGTACTGGATGCAATGAAGAGCCTCCTCTTGCTACGCAGACTTGAGGATGAAGCTCCCTAACACGCGCCCCACCTCCATCCAGCTCCTCTCCATCGGGTGATAGTCGCCGGAGAGCCGCAAAGTCGCCATTTTTCTGCTCCGTCAGGTGACAGCCGCTAGAGACGATTCAAAGACCTATTTTATTGATCTCTAGACTTCGCAAGGAGATTTACAGATTGCCCACGTCGTCCTTGTCTAAGGAGAGGTGATGTGACTTAGTCATTGTATATTAAATCACACAAATATAAAATTTATAAAACAAGAAAATACGAATTTTTGGATATTTAGAAGTATTTCTGAACAAATATATCAATTATAATTCAATAAAACTTCCAAAAATAGCAATAATTTTCTAGGTCGATCACAAGAATATAATATAATATCTGGTAATTATTCAGAATTTTCCTCAAAGAACACTACTTTATATGAATTTTATACTAAGAAATGAAAAGGAAATACATTTAAAATTCACAAAAAAGGGAAATAAGGGTGCGGATGTCAGGGTGACGTCAGCACCTGGCGGATGCGAATCGGGCGGAAATAGGGTTCCACCTTGCGATTCTTATGTAAGTGATTATAAACGATTTAATTGATCAAATTAAGATCTGTAAAAGTCGGAAGAATCGTAATTGAACAAAATATATTTTGGTAAATTAAAATCACACAGATTATCACTAAATGAAGCGTAAAGTAAGTTGAAAGTAGGAAAACAGAGTTCCGACGTCGCAGCGGTGATGCGTTGGCGATGCACTGGAATCTTGAGCATTCGGGAGGATAGTCGTGCAGTGTCCACGGCCTCGAAGGCTCTCCTTGAACAAAGACGATGTGGGCAATCTCTAGATCTCCTTGCGAAGTCTAGAGATTAATAAAATAGGTCGTTGAATCATCTCCGGCAGTTGTCACCCAGCGGAGCGGAAAAACGGCGACTTTGCAGCTCTCCGGCGGCTATCACCCGGCGGAGAGGAGCTGGATGGAGGTGGGGCGCGTGTCAGGGAGCTTCATCCTCAGGTTCGCGCAGCAAGAGGATGCTCTTCATCGCATCTGGTACGTTCTTAGGAGGTGGCGACTCGTCTCCTAGCGGATCGTCCTCTTCCCGACGATGGCTTGTTCGTCGATCAATCGGAGATGCTTTACTCGATGAATTCGCGATCCTTTTATCACGAATCGTTCAACAATTTTAGTAACAATTCTCCGCGAATCGCATTGACAAGATTTTTGCCGATGATCTAGTGATTCTGGTTGCTTAATCCTTCACCGGTGATCTGCAGGAAAGTCGCGATAATCAGATAAAAAAAATATGAATTTTGGCTCTGAGAGGATTCGAACCCACGCCGGTTTCCCCCCTTCTGGGGAAGGTGTGACATGGGTTTAGTCTCACATCGGTTGTGCGCTGAATTTTCGAGCGAATATATAGTAATGTTACATTTCAAAGCAAGTCCCTTTCTCGCGCGTGTACGACTACTCCTTGCCCCACAACTAGCTGGCCACTGGTGACGTGGAAGGGGGGTGGCACACACGTGCTCCTTCGGTCTAAGCCGCTTGAGCCCTTGCTCGCGGCTACTTCCCGACTGTACTTTCGACCCCCTCGCGGGCCCGGCTGACTGGCGGGTCCCCCCATTTTGCAATATTTTTATTTTTATTTCTTTTTCTTCATTTATCTCAAAAGTAAGACTGTAAAAATCATATAAATTCGTATAAAATCACATAATTACCCAAAAATTCACATTAATCAACTGAAAACCACTTTTCACACTTTAACACAAATATAAGTCTTCATTATCACGAGTTAAGGCTAAAACTATATTATTTACTAATTATTAACTCATGATAATGAAGACTTATCACACCCCCCAACTTAAATCATTGCTAGTCCCTTAGCAATAGAATTACGAAAGTAAAAATTTAAAAATTTCAAACATCATATTTCAATACATAAAAAAAATACACAATTAGAAATGAGGTACTTTAGACACTTTGAATTCTTATATCAAGTATTTAAGAATGATGTCAAGCACTTAAATGTTTAAGCACTCCTTGGAATAACAATCTAGACTTCACTTCTTCTATTCACATTTTTATCACTTCTTCACTCATAGATATATTTACAAGATGTTCCAATTATCAATACTCATCCAAGAATAATATTGATCCTACATTTCCCTTTTTCCATAGCTTGATTTTTGAAGTTTGCACTATATTTCTTCCTTCTTTTTTTTTTTAATATATACATATAGTGGATAAGTAGCTTTTCCTGTAGACAAATTTCGACAATAAGAATGATGTCTTACACTCTCCATGTATACTCTTCATTTTCAGGGCTTTCACTTTATCCACTTATTTTTCAGCAAGTGTTTTTCCATGCACGATTTTCGACAATGATTCTCTCTCTTTTTTTTCTTCTTTTTTTTCTTTTTTTTTTTTCGAAATAAGTGATTTCTCCTCACAAGTCCTATAGATCAAGGTGCAAAAATCTCCATTAAACTCAAATGATCAATCAAATTTTCACATCAAGTAAATATTATCCATCAAGATCATGAAGTAAAAATCTGTAAAATCAAATCCATGTTATCTATCATGTATCCAAAGAGTATTCCAGCATTTCATGCTACAAGATCATTCTTTTGACTCAATAATAATCTTCCTAGTATCTTTTGGTATCAATCAATCTAATTGATTTAATTTTTCATGCATGCAATATGATGTAAGAAATTTGTAAATTAGATAGTTCTAATAGTTCTGTTTTTAGCAACAATAAATTTGTCAAAAATAAATCAAAACTATCCTCTTTATAGTTGTAATTTCGAATTTCAGTAATATATGTCTAGGGGATTGAAATGTAAGAAAAGGGTCTCTAGAATTTCAAATTTCAGGCTGTTTTTTTATTTGCTGTTTTTGACAGTCTGTTGTTCCTGACAGAAAATCAGAAAATAGATGTTGTAGCTTTTCCGAATTGCATTTTATTTTTATTTTTTCAGTTGCTGTTCTAATGCAAACACATGTTCTTAATCGTCCTACAGCATAAATTAATACTGAATACTTCACCCCCCAACTTAAAAATGACAGTCCTCAATGACACAGAAAAATCGAAATAGAATATGCAAAAAATATAATTTTCAAGTGAAGCATGCATATGTGCAAAGTTAAACATTAAAAATATTGTCATAAATGATAAAGCTCAGAAAGACATCACCTCAACCTCGTTTTTAATTTTTCACTTCATCTTACACTCCTCCTCCTGCACTTTTTTGAAAAAACAAATATAGAATTAAGTACTGCGAAATTCTAAGAAAAATAGAGCTTAAATAAAATCAAACAGAATGAAATAAAAACCATGGGTTGCCTCCCATCCAACGCTGAATTTAATGTCTCCAGTTGGACACCTTGATCTTACTCTTGAATTTCTTTTAATAATAAAATTTCTTTTTCTGCAAGGCGTTCATGTTCTATCTAATGTTTAAGCCGCTGTCCATTTACCTTAAAGTTATGATCACTTTTAGGGTCTTTAATCATTACAGCCCCATGATCATATGTCTCTTCCACCACATAAAGCCCTTTCCATTTTGATTTTAATTTTCCTGGGAATAATTTCAGCCTAGAATCATATAACCACACTTTTTGTCCAACATCAAATTTTTTTCTGCTAATGAATTTATCATGAAAAGTTTTAGTTTTTTTCTTTATATATTCTATGATTTTCATAAGCTTCATTCCTCAACTTCTCTAGTTCATGTAGCTGAAAAATTCTATTCCCACCAGCTGATTTTTCATCCATACATAAATTTTTTATAGCCCATAATACTTTATGCTCTATTTCCACAAGAAGATGGCATGGCTTTCCAAAAATGAGGCGAAATGGGGACATACCTATGGGATTTTTATAAGCTATTCTATAAGCCCATAATGCATCTTGTAATTTCGTGGGCCAATCTTTCCTATCTAGTTTGACTATTTTTCTCAAAATTCTTTGAATTTCCCTATTTGCTACTTCAGCTTGCCCATTTGTTTGGAGATGATATGGAGTGGCTACTCTATGGTGTACTCCATTCTTTTTCAACAATTCTCTGAAATGTTTATTTGTAAAATGTGTTCCTCCATCACTAATAATCACTCTAGGACATCCAAATCTCGAAAAAATATTTTCCTGCACAAATTTCATCACGATTTTATGATCATTAGTTCTAATAGGAATAGCTTCCACCCACTTCGACACATAATCAACAGCAAGCAAAATATATTCATATTTTTCAGCTGATGGAAAGGGACCCATGAAATCTATTCCCCATACATCAAAAATTTTGACTACTAACATGTTACTCATGGGCATTTCATCTTTTTTACTCATGTTACCTATAGATTGTAATGAAATACATGTTCTACTAAATTCTATAGAATCTCTAATGATTGTAGGCCAATAAAAACCACACTGAAAAAATTTTGCAGCTATTTTTTATCTAGAGAAATGTCCTCCACAGTTATATGAATGGCACATGTTAATAATGCTATGATATTCTTCTTCAGGAACACATCTCCTTAAAATTTGATCATTGCCCAAGTAATATAAATCAGGATCATACCAAAAATAATTTCTAATCTTAGAAAATAAATGATGTTTTCTGTTCTTATCCCACTGTTCTAGAAGTTTCCAAAAACCAGAAAATTAACAATATGTGCATACCATGGTGATGGTTGATGTTGAGCTGCCATCAATTGTTCATCTAGAAATGCGTCTTGTAAAGGTGCTACATTTATTCCTGTATCACTTAATCTAGAAAGATGGTCAGCAACAACATTCTTGAAACCTTTTTTATCTTTTATTTCTAAGTCAAATTCTTGTAACAATAAAATCCATCTTAATAAACATGGCTTTGCATCTTTCTTACTTAACAGATATTTTAATGCTGCATGATCAGTATAAATAATAATTTTAGCTCCCAAAATATGATCTAAACCTTTCTAACAAAAATACTATAGCTAACAACTCTTTTTCAATCGTGGTATAATTTAATTGAGCATCGGATATAGTTTTACTAGCATATGAAATTACTATGGGTTTTGACTCTTTTGTTTGTCCTAGAATGGCCCCCACTACATAATTCGATGCATCACACATTATTTCAAAGGGAAAGGACCAATCAGGAGCTTGTAAAATGGGTGCCTCAGTAAGTAATCTTTTTATTTTAGAAAAAGACTCAAAACATTTCTCATCAAAATTAAAAGGCACATCTTTAGATAATAACATGGTGAGAGGTTTAGAAATTTTCGAAAAAATCTTGAATAAATTTTCTGTAATAACCTGCATGACCAAAGAAAAATCTAATCTGTTTTACTGAATTTGGATGTTTCATTTTAGATATAATATCAATTTTTGCTCTATCCACCTCTAAACCCCTTTCACTCACAATATGACCTAACACAATTCCCTCTCTAACCATAAAATGTGATTTCTCCCAACTCAAAACTAATTTTTTCTCTATGCATTTCTCAAGTACATGCTGTAAATGATTTAAGCATTCATCAAATGATTCACCAAAAATAGAAAAATCGTCCATAAAAATTTCCATGCATTTTCTAGTCATATCAGAAAAAATAGACAGCATACATCTTTGAAATGTGGCTGGAGCATTACATAGACCAAAAGGCATGCATTTAAAAGCAAAAGTACCAAATGGACAAGTGAAAGTTGTTTTTTCTTGATCTAAAGGTTTTATATAAATTTGATTATAACCAGAGTATTCATCTAGAAAACAAAAAAAGTTTTTTCCAGCTAATTTTTCTAGAATTTGATCAGTAAATGGTAGGGAAAAATGATCTTTTCTAGTAACTGAATTTAATTTTCTATAATCAATGCAAACCCTCCAACTGGTAGTTAATCTTGTTTGTATTTCATCCCCATTTTCATTTTTTATAACCGTGATCCCTGATTTTTTTGGCACCACTTGTGTAGGACTAACCCATTTGCTATCTGAAATAGGATAAATAATATCAACAGCGAGCCACTTTAAATTTCTTTTTTTACAATTTCCATCATGTTAGGATTTAATCTTCATTGTGGTTCCCTGCTAGTTCTAGCCCCCTCCTCTAGATATATACTATGCATGCATACACTCATATCAATGCCCCTTAGATCATCTATTTTCCAGCCCATAGCCTTCTTATTTTTTCGAAGTACATCTAATAATTCTTCTTCCTGTTCATCACTCAAATCAGCTAAAATAATAACAGAAAATGAATTATTTTCCTCCAAAAATATATATTTTAAACCAGAGGGAAGAGGTTTCAACTCTAAATTCAGATGATCTTCCTCTTTCTTTTCTCCTAAATTTATATTCTCTATTTCCTCTAATTCTTCCAGCACACAGTCATCAATAACATTTGGATTATCAAAATCATCTAGAAGATCTATGGTATGACAATCATATATTTGGGATTTCTTAAGATCATTTGATACCTCAAAAATTTTAATTTCTACTAATTGATCTCCACATGAAATTTTCGCAATACCTGTGGGAAAATCAATATTCATCTTTGCTGTATGCAAAAATGGTCTCCCTAGGATGATTGGTGTATCATAAAACTGTCCATTAAAATCCATTTCTAGCACTACAAAATCAGTTGGAAATTTACACCCTTTAATTGTCACTATCACATTTTCTAAAATACCTTTAGGATGTTTTATGGATCTATCAGCAAATTGTAAGGTAATAGTAGAAGGTTTAAGATCAGAAATATTAAATTTATCACAAATACTTGCAGGTAATAAATTAATACTAGCACTAGTGTCAAGTAATGCATTCTGAAAAATGGATCCACCAATATCACACGAAATTAAAGGGGCACTCGTATCTCTCAATTTATATGGTAATTGATTTAATAATAAAGCACTAGCATACATAGATAATTTTTCTACTCTAGGTGCCCGTTTTGGTGTACACATTTATTTCAAAACTCTAGCATATTCAGGAATATGTTCAATGGTAGTGAGTAAAGGAAGACTAATTTGCACATCTTGTAAAATTCTCTTTATTTCTTCATTTTGTTCCTTTTTCTTTCTTTGTCTAGGCTCTAGAGCTTTAGGAAATGGAATGATTGTCCTCTCTTTCGAAATTTCCTTGGTGGAATCTATAAAATTCTCTTCTACTCCTATTTGATTTTGTATTGGGTTGTCCACGTTTTCCTTTTCTTCTAATATTTGGAGATAAGGATCAGGTAAAATCGTACCACTCCTTAATGCATTCACTATCCTAACATTTTCATTTCGTGGGTTTTTTCCTAGATTCATGCTACTAGACTCCCCTTGCTGAAATCCTATTCTTGGGCAGTTCCTTGGATTTTTTATGGGCTGACTAGGTAGTTGCCCTCTTCTCTCTTATTCCCAAGAGCCTCTATAATTTATTTCTGGTTCAGCATCATTTGATTCATAGTTTGTTGCATCATTTGGCTCATTTGCTGCATCATTTCCACAGTATCATGTTGGGTTTGAGAGGGCTGATTTTTTTGAAATCTGTTTTCTTGTTTTGGACGAAATTCAGAGTTTGAATTGGGTTTAAGTGCTTCTTGATTTTGAATATTATTTGGGTCTCTCCATAAGAAATTATTCCTTCAATTAGGATTATAAGAATTTGAAAAAGGTTCCCTATTTCTATTAAAACCGTGAGCTACTTACACTTGTTCTTGCATAGGGTGAAATGATTGATCTAAATAGCATTGAAATTCAGAATAATCATTTTTACCATACATAGGACATGTACTATTTAAATTAATTAGAGGGTTAAAAGGCTTTCTAATATTATCAATAAGTAAATCATTTTTTTCTAATCTTTGATTAATCTGATTAACCTCATTTCTAAGTTTAGAATCATCATCATGATGCAATTCATAAATTCCTCTCTTCTTATCCTTGTCATATAATTCAAAAGAGGCTTGATCTCTAGAATTTTCACTTAAATTCTCATAAAGATTGTAAATCTCATCAGGGGTTTTTTCCATAAAAGCCCCTCCACATATAGAATCAACCATATTTCTATGTTGTTCTAATAATCCATCATAAAAAATTCTATTGAGTTGCCACTTGGGTATAGCCTGATGAAGACACTTTCTAAGTAAATCTTTGAATTTTTCCCATGTCTCATGTAAAGTTTCTCCTGGTCTTTGAGAAAAACTCCATATATGTTTTCTCATATTTTGAATTTTTCCTAAGGGATAAAATTTTTGAAGAAAGGTCTGTTCTATGTCTTTTTAGCTAGTTAATTCTCTATCTAATGTGGATAGCCAATGACTAGCTTTGTCCCTAAGTGTATGAGGAAATAATTTCATCTTAATAATTTCTGGTGTAACTTGAGGGAGAACCTAAATCACAAACCATATAAAATTTTTCTAAGTGCTGATGAGGTTCCTCTAAAGGCAATCCATGAAAATTAGGAAGCATTTGAAAAATTCTTAAATTTATTTCGAATTTAACAGTGGGTGCTAATGGGACTCTAATATTTGATGCTCTTTGAAATGAATCAGGGATATAATGATTTTTCATGGCTGTAGGCTTTTTCTCAGTTTGACCTACACTTCCTTCAAGATCCATCAAAATTAATTTTTCTTTCAGATTTTTCGTTTTGAATGAAATAATGAAAGGATTTTCTAGCCTTGGATGCAAGAATCTTCTACCGTGCATAAAAAATCAATAAATTCGAAGGAAAAGTTTAGTAATTGTTACCCTCCTTTAGTATGCTCCAGTCCTTGCCTTGCTTCTTTTCGATCCTTTTTCTAAAAATAAAATTTCGGCAAGAAGAAAATAAAACGAGAGTTAAATTTTATTTTATTTTTCTGCACTCTAAGAGAAAAATAGAAAAATACTAAATATTATGCAATATATCCTCGGCAAATGTGCTAAAATTTGACGTGACTTAGCCATTGTATATTAAATCACGCAAATATAAAATTTATAAAACTAGAAAATACGAATTTTCAGATATTTAGAAGTATTTCTGAACAAATATATCAATTATAATTCAATAAAACTTCCAAAAATAGCGGTAATTTTCCAGATTGATCATAAGGATGTAATATAATATCTGATAATTATTTAGAATTTTTCTCAAAGAACACTATTTTATATGAATTTTATACTAAGAAATGAAAAGAAAATATATTTAAAATTCACAA